ATAAATGTGCACTTCAGCTCGATCTTGCAAACTTCCCATGACGTTGAGGAGGATTCGTGGTTCTCAAACCAGTGCCTGACAGTTCCTTCCATAAGAGGAATAGGTTCTGCAGGAGCCGGTTGTCTGTCCACCCATTGTGGCGGGCAACACGGTCATATAGTTCAATCCAGCCCTCGACGTGCGTACAAACAATGGTGGGAGTGAACGCGGTTCGCTGCTACAGATTTGTCACTGTTGGCTTAGGCAGTTTCGGTTTTTCCGGCAACAGTCCGAATTTCGGTGGTTCCTGTTGGTAGCAGCCACAGACTCAAATTTCAAATTCTTCGTGGTGTATTTTCGAGGTTCGTCTTTGTGATACTTGCTCGTCTTGCGATCTTTCTGCTGGGCTCGGGATAGGACTTGGTTTAAGGCTCGCCGGGGGTTTAAGACGCGGGATAGTCCGCCACCCATGTCCCGTTATCGAGCAACTCAGCTGAGGAGCCACCAATGTGCACACAGAGTGAAGGGCTATGGGTAAAGTACCCAGCACCTCCACCAGAACATACGATGACAGCTGAGCATTGCCTGGAACTTTCCAGAATAGTAAATATTGATAGAAAATAGGACTGGAGCAAGCATCCGTGACAATATAACAAAACTGACAGAAGAGAGACTACCCTGACCACTAAAGAAGCTGCACTGCTTTAGTGGCATTCTGTCCGAATAAAGTCTCCCTCGGGATTTGGCGACTGCCGTGGGCGAACTGAACTGAAATGGATGCGAAGCCACTTTCTGGTGATGAGCCGCTGCAGACTGTCGTCACAAAGCGGCGTGAACGAGTGGACTGGGTAGGTAACACGCGCAATGAAATGTCCATACTGCTTGCAATTCGCGTAACGAGTGTTGATGAAACTTTTGTGTCGACGAAGCGTGCGACAGACCAGCGGAATCAATACCAACTACAACACCAGTGCTCCGTGAAAGTGCACGTCTACGCCGGAACAACTGACCTCTTGGCGAATATGTGCTGCCACCTAGACACGTGACTGGGTTCGAGGCTAAGTGGCGAGAAAACAATGCACGTGCAAGGCCTCTCCCACTCGTTCCACACCCAAAACGTCAGCTACATCCTGTGCACCCATTGAGGTGCTGTGGCCTAGATACGGCTCCCCCGAACTCGCCTTTGTCCCCATCGTGTGTAATCTTCTGCCTTGAAGTCGACAGAACGAAACCATCTTCCCTCTCTGCGGGGCCAGAAGGAAGAGAGAGGGTAGTGGAACCATATACTCTCGAACCAATGTTTCTACATAAGGTCCATTGGGGAGCAGCACAGCATCACCTAAAGCATGGCACAGGAACTACCAGCTTGAAGGCAGCTCTTCAATCCTGTGCTCCGTGAAAGTGCACGCCTACGCCGGAACAATTTGGGAAGCAGCACAGCATCATTTAGCACGGCACGGGAACTACAAGTTTCAAGGCAGCTCTCCGGTGCGCCGCACAACCAAAGTGAGCCTTCGGTCATTTGAACGAAGCTACACCACGATTGCAGACTGCCAAGCACGAATCACGCAATTTCCGTCGCTAAACTGTGTATCCAAATATATTGCACACACTTGACTGCAGACCTCGAAGATTCCGACGGTCAGCGAGAGCACAGAAACGTCGCATTAAATTTTATCTTAGCGGTATCCAAATCAATCCGAGGTCCGAGCAACGCAGGGCAGATTGTCTCCTCCGTGGCAATATCCCCGTCTGTCACCAGCGAAAGCACACCGTTCCTCCGTATTTTCACCTTATACCTACTTCAGACACCACGCTGAACTCTGAAGTCGCTGTCGACCGGCCTCGTATGACGGCTTCCGCGTCTGAAATCAACTCGCCGAGACGAACGACAACCAACAAAGCATCCGACAAGCTCCGGCCCAGCTGGGGCCAGCCGCTGCATGGGCGCTGCCATCTTTCCTGTGACGTCACGTATTTGGCGTATTTGGTTTGGTCATGTGACGAGAATCTTTATCCGAATCTAGAGCACTATATAGCTCCTACGGAGCAGAGTAGCGCAATCCTTTGAACCTCGTGTTTTGCCGACAAGATGGCCGACAGAGCGGCTCGGCGCGAGTCACGTGGTACTCAGGGTTCCAAGAGGCGGCCCGCCCTATGGTAGAATACATGGAGATCGATACAACACGGCTGATTAAAAAATGAACGGCGAGTTCACACTTTTCAAAACTAGTCTGTCGTGAAGTTAGTAAAGCACTAAACACTTTATCAAAGTTTTAATAATATCGGATGCGTGTGCAAATTTTGAGAAGGCAATTTCCAAGGCAATGGCGTTTGAAGCAGACGATTTTTGCTCGCAGCGGAGATGGGCTTTTCGGGTTGGCCGGAGCGGGTCACGTGAATGGTGTGACGTCGCCGTGTCGTCTGCTGCATGATGCCGCTCAGGCAATTTTTAAAAAAAAGTTACGTCCTTGTATGGCACAAAACTTATCGCATATTATTCTAAAATGTTTCATTATTATGTCAAAAATGATTTCCATTCCGCACATCCCCACACAACTGAAGAAACAACGATTTTCTCACGTTCTCCATGCATTTCTGACCGCAGTTGGAACCTCCGGGCGTTCGCCGCTAGTCGCCGAGAGACGGCGTTCTAGATTGCGCTACTCCAGAGCCGCTACTCTGCTCCGAAGGAGCTATAGACCTTTTCATTTCAGTAGTTGCCTGACCGGCGGGTAGAGGGCGCTGACACACTCGGCGCCATTAGGTTGCTTCAATTTGGTCGGTTTCGGTTTAAACGTACACGCGACTGTGATGTTGTTTCATGCCACTTTCGATTACTTTTGCGATGTGAATTTCTTTCTAGTAACACACAGCGAATGAAACAATAGTATTGAGCCACTTGGCAAACCACGAAGTGGTTTCGAGCCTAAATTGCGATCTTTTTTTTACCAACACTATATGCGTCTGATTCCGTCCATCATTAATTTCGGTCAGGTTCGGCGGTGAAACAACTGCGCTGATGCACAGGGAGGATTACCATTGTCCACGGCCGTACCCGCGGACACTAAATTTAAGTAGACAAAAAAAAAAATAATAAAGAGCAGGACAAGCTCCGCCTGCAGCGTGCGCTCGTTGCCCGCCGCCGTGCTTTGGCTGTGCGTGCACCGAGCGGTACGGAAGTAGCTAGCTCGCGCTTAAGTCATATATTGAACTGATCATCTTATATTGCAACAGACTATATTGCATGAGTGCTTAGTGAAAAATCAAGTCGACAACATGATTAACAATCTGCTGAATCACCAAGAACAGATGAACTGACAAGTTTACTGTTCGATGTTTGGTTTGCGTACACCAACCTTTTCTAACTTCGAGACTGGAAACGTCTTTTATAATGACTAATATAGTCACGTAGATAATATAAAAAAGTGATATTGTCTCAGCCTGTTTTATTTAAAGAAATTGAGCGCTCGAGAAATATTTTGATAGACCAGCCTAGGCTGACTAGAAAATTTCTTTAACTAAAGTACTTATTTACAGCATTTCAAAATATTGGCCTTATGAAATAAACGTTTTGTTATGCGGACATTTGCTTACAACGTTCTCAAGGTATGAGAATGGTAAGATAAGTGAATGCCAGACTTCAAATAAAGTCTGATATCCATCTTCCATAAGATTTGCCGAATGAAATTGAAGAGCGCAAAAGAAATTATCTCCGATATGTTTGGCTGAAGTTGAACGTCCGGCGCCACCCAATGGACCTGTGTAGAAAGCTGTTCACTGATTTGAAACGATGCGCTTTGCACATTTTGACGTCGCCATCTACTGAAAGTAGCTCCCTATTCGAAGTCGACAACCGGCTGCACTCGGGTGATTTTGATGCAGAAGGATTCTTTTCGCCGTCACATTTTATGAATCATAGGCACTATCAAGCTGTCTGTGGCAGTTTCTTACGCGGGGAGTTCAAATATTTGTGTTGAGATAAATTAATTTAAACTGCATGGTTATATTAAAAAATGACTTAAGCAACTGAAAGACTATGGACATGGGACCAAGCACGATATACAATTCCGTGGAATTCATAAATAAACCGATAAACCGAATGCTTATATCGCACACGCGATTAAGAACGTAAAACAGATATAGGTGTGATATTGCGAACAAACAAGTTGCCTAATGTTAAGGTACCATTATTTGTAGCATAAAAAATAATTCAAACTAAATGTTTGTTCCCGCGCCTTGTCCACTAGTTCCATAGTGTAATCAAAAGGAACTGTTTTCGATCTGTTGGAACTACAAAACACCATGTTTTCAGGAAAAGCACGTGGCTAATTACGCGGAGTGTTTTTGTTTTCTTCCTTGACACCAATGCGCACTCATAAATATGATAACATTGGGCTTCCTATTGCAAATGTCCCATCCTTATTACCAACCAAACCTCAGTTCTCATAAGTTATTGGTATTTGAACCCTCGAGGCTCTCTTCAAGTCATATATGTATTCAATGTGCGCAAGTGCTAACGCTGATTCCTGTTCCTATAAAACTTTTTCACACATATCCCGCACGCCGACGGTAAAAAAATATTCAAAACGTGTTACAAAATCAACTACAGAAGTTGTGCGCATAATGATGTAATGCAATTGCATGGTAAGTATAAGTATCGGACGACACTTTACGGAGTAAGGCAAGAGACGTGCTGAAACGCGACGAAAAACACGAATTCAACGCATCCGCCAAGGCGCGGACGGGAGAGCGGAGCAACAAGTTGAAGCAACCTAATGGCGGCCACATCACGTGATTCCAAGATGGCAGCGCCCATGCGGTGGAGGGTGAAAAGGTCTATATAGTGCTCTATCCGAATCGAGATTCGGATAACCGAGAGTATTCCTTCGACAAATTTTGTGTTATTTGTTTTATTTAAGAGTATCACCTGAAATTGTAAATTATCAGATTTGGTTTATTGTTAGTTTATTATAACAAAACGCCTTGTGGTCGTCAACGGTTGGAAATGCAGTGGTTGGTAACGAGAGTATACTTTTTCAAATTGAGTTTGCGTCGGCTGGTTGTGCCGTTTCAGCTCTTTGTTACTTTTTCAGCGTCTCTGGTGTTTGCCCAACTGTGATTTGCACTTTTCCACGGTGTTCGTGATCGTGAGTCGTGTCCACCGGTCGTCCCCGTGCTTGACCAGTGAAGGCAGATTGTAGGGACCCTTCTTCCGAAATGTCTTCAGTTCAACTGGCTGTCGAGAGACTGCAGGGCCTCTTCGATGCTCGGGCAGCCGAAGTGGAAACCGTCATCATGCAGGCAAGGAGTGCGCTCGACAAGAACGCAAAGAACTGCGGTGACACCGTCGTCGCCATGATTCAGGATTCCGGCAAGTTCGACAGAACGTCTTGGGCGTCGGCCATCGAAGACATAGAGCGAGAAGCTAGTTCTCTGCCGCAGGAGACTGCGCGAACGGACGAAATGCTTGCAAGCCTTTCTTCGACGATGGCCAGCATCAATGACGCACTGCAGAAGCTGTGAAGGACTGCTTGTTGCTCAAATTTTGAATATGTTCTCGACAGTTAATATCAACTGCCTTGTTTCTTTGACGGATTCCTGTTGCTTTTATCTTTGCACGACTTTTTTTGACCGTTCACGTTAATACTTGCAGTCTCCTGCAAGTAGCACTGACAAAACCGGTTTTCCCGGAAACCTGCACTGGACCGCACGTGAATGCTCGCATCCATGTGCTGCCAGTGCTTCACCAACCGCACTTCGGTTGGAGTAGGTAGCACAAAGGACTAAAAACGACTTAGTCCACAGTTGTTTGCAATCTTGTCTCATGTTCAAGAATGATCAACACTATTTCAAACTAATATTTATTTTTCGTCTCTGCGACTTTAATAGGTACTTTGTTCATATGGTTAGGTACCACCAGCACAACCACAGTGACTTCGTAGTTTCGCAAGCATGAGCGTGTACTTCGGCACTGCCTTCCTATTAACCCACCTTCGTAATTGGAAAAAAAATTAAAATAAGACTGAATCACACGCACATGCGACCAAGTGACACAACCGGTTATTAAGCCGCTTACGACTGGCCGCGCAGCAGCGATGGCGGTCCAGTCTGTCACGAATGCGTGAACCAGCCTCTACTGGTCACTGCTGTTGCCGTCAGAGCTGGTCGATTTGCGAATGTCAACAAGACATGCTTAAAAGACCAACCATAATTAGCAGTCTTCATGAATGAGCGAGCACAATGGGTCAATTACAGGTTCACCACACAAAAAACGTATTTGTTTGCATAAATGTGCATATTTTTCAGCCTTGGTCCTACAATTCTATCAACATTGAAAGGTGGCTAGCAAGAACACTACACAACCCGGGGTGCCCTGTACATGCGCTACAGCCTCGCCACAAGAGTTGCGGTTAATGGGAACAAATCAAGACGGCTCCCGATCAACTGTCTATCCTACAAGAATCGGCACTCGTTTTATTGACCCGGGGTTTAAGTACGCACTCGGGGAGCAAGGGGCTCCGTGCCGTCATCTGCCATCTCGGCCAACAGGCGCTGCCGATTCCCCCTGTCCGTTATGTCCCGTGTCGCTTCTGCAGATGACGAACACGTGCAGCACAGTCTCGATTGATTGCAAACAAGATGGCATTATGTTCACGCGAGGGGGGAAGAACGGCGGCCACTTGTGCCGTCTTATTTCCGGAGCGGGGTTTTGTCGCGACGCAGCCAGTGCATCACAAATGTTCCAGCAGGAGAGAAGGTGCAGTCGCGACGAAACGAAGAACTGACGGCGGCACCGGGTGGCAGTCCAGCACCAAGTCTTGTCGGGGCGGCGAATTCTAAGCTCGCCATCCTTCCGACTTCCGGCGGAGTCGGTCTAGACCGGATGGTCTCCATCTGGAATCTCCAGCTTCCCGACGTCCTGCGGCTGCGCCGCGGCCAGTCCGGCTGCAATCAGAAACGCCGAACATTGACGAAATTGCAAAAAAAAAAGGGGAGACAATGCAAGCAAAGGCTCATTCAAACACTTGCATTTGTTTAGGACCGAGTTCTCAAAACCTAGGTATTGCGACGACAAAACGCTGGCGCCCTCTATGAGGTGACCCTGACACTGCATTTCACTGGAGCAAAGGTTTTGCGGCACCTGCAGATGTACCTACCATCTTTGGGGATTGGTTATTTATGACATTGTCAAGTTCCACGTCTACCCAATAGAGGGCACCAGTTTGCTCCCTCGTCTTGAGAGGTTTTAGGGCACACGGTCGTAACCAATCGCAAGCGTGTGAGCTGACCCTAAGACAGACACCGTACCGTCAACTACTTTACTAAGAGTACGGCGCCAGGAACACGCGCTCGACCGGCGCATGTGCCGCACCCTCAAGTGTGGTCTCTCGATTTCCACCCAACATGGAAGTGTCACGCCGTGATTGTAGAAGTTCCAGCAAAAAAAAAGACGAGCGAACGCAAGCGCCATGGCCTCCCGACTCCTGGCCATTGAAGCTTCCGTGAACCATCGAGTTGGAGAGCGCAAGATGGCAGCAACACAAGTGTGATGTCGTCGGGAGGAAATCGAGAGAACACAAACGAAGACGTAGTAAGTGCACCAGTCGGAGCCGCGTTCCAGGTGTTGCACTAAGGGTGCATACTGGGCAAACACGAGGGCGATGGGTTTTCGCTACAGATGCCACGCCGAGAGCCGGCACCGGCGGGTGCGGCAATAACCTGGAGACTACAGAGCCCTTTTATTCGGGGAAGGTGTCGAGTATTCGCCGTGTTTAGTGTCTCATCACGCCGAGCACGATAGATTGATCGCCAGTGACACTGGGCAGACTGCCCAGACAGAAGTGCTTCGTTTGTGGCAGGTTTTTGTCGCAAAAACCCTCTAATACGGACTGCAAGTTCGTCTGCTTCTTTTGCAGGGGTTGTGGTGACATCAGATCGATGACAAGCTCTGATCGGCTCTGACTGAAGGATAGCGAATAGACCTCAAGGCAGCTTGTCTTGAGGTCTACCCACTATCCTTCAATCAGAGCTTGGCATTCTGACGTCACCACAACCCCTGTAAAAGAAGCAGATGAACTTGCGCTCCGCATAGCTCTATTTCATGGAGACAAAACCAGCGTCCAGTATTCCCCCTTGCGAAGCATTTGGTTTATACTTGCGTCTAGGTTTTCTTTTGCCTACTGTACAAGTCGTATGTGCACTACTTAATGCTTTTGAGTTTTATGGGACTCTTCAAATACAAACCAGCAAAAGCATTAGCTGCAAGAGTCTTGGGGTAATTCACAGTGTACCGCATCAGAACGGATCCAATCGCTAGTGTCCTCCACAGAAAAACCATAACTGACTGAGAGCACAGAATAATACCGAGGCCACCAAGCAGTGCACAACACCACCAACAAAATCGCTTAATCGTGCTCCGGCACACGAATTAATGGATGGTATTACTATACACCCTTTGTCTCGATTGGTAACTTGCACCACCTAGCCTGGAAAAATGTATGTCCTCTCTCTTTTAAACCCTGCTCTAGACTCTGTATCCCGTTAAATCATCTACCCCATCAATATTGCATAATGTCGCACTCCTGTAGGCCTTTTCCACCTATCTTCTAGCCTCCACTCGTGAAAAAATAATAATTGGTAGCACGTCGTTGCTAACCGTCGTGCACAGAAGCCATTGCAACGGCAATAGGCTGTATGATTCGAGAGGAAAACTAAGCCCAATCTTTAACTATACTTCCCGTTCGTAACGGCGGAAGCCTCCTCAGTCTGCAAGCAAGCAACAACGCAAGATTGAGTGCGGTTCACTGTGAATTTTCATGTGACCCTGTTCGCTGCAACTGCCAAACTTTGCATCTAAAAGCTGCTTCCCACACTTGCATTTGATAACAACCGAGTTCTTGTGACCTCTTACGGTGGGAGAACACACTGGCCTTATCTACGAGGTGGCCCTGAAACTACACTCCACTAGAGTGAATATTTTGCAGCATTTGCGATATCCCATGTACGTGATAAAAAGGGTGTTTCTTTTAATGCTGAACAGATCTGTTTAAAAGAAGCTGCAAAAGCTACACACATGCGGTTTGTGCAAGTGGGATATACGGCGAGGGGGGGCATAATAGGGGAGAACAATCGCCATGGCTAGTCAAATATTTAACTAAATTTTGTTAATTAACACTCTAATTAGTGAAAATACCCATATGATTCCAATTAGAAACTTGCTGAACATCGTCGAAAACAACCAAGTCGGTGATTTTTAGAAAAACTTTGAGCATGTGTGAAGCGCAGTAGTGCGCCAAAGTTACCACTTATGCAACAAGCACAAGGCTGGGGTGAGAAAACTCTGATGATAAGCGAAAAAAAAAGGTGTGGGCACGTATTTGCACCAGTAGCCTTGCTCCTGCCACACGACCGGCGACTTTGGAGCTCTAATGTAGTTCCCATGTGCTCCGAGTCTTTCTAAAATATTGACTAGTTTAGCGGTTCTCAACGACGCTCGGCAAGTTTCTAATTAGAACCACATTTATTTTGAATAATTAAAAACATTAATTTACACATCTTACTTAATTACCCGACTAATCGTTACGATTAGCTCCCTATACCATGTCCACCTGGCCGCATAACTCGCTTGCACGAACCGCATTAAAGTAGCTTTCGTGGCATCTTTTTTTTTTTTTTTTTAATCTGTTAGGATTAAAAAAAGAAACACCCTATTTATGAAAAATAGGTTGTTTAGAACACTGTCAAAAAAATTTGGAGCCAACAAAGAAAGAATGACTCGTTCTATGGCTACACAATAGGTGGTGCCAGCCTGTCCTCTCATCGGAAGATATCGCAAGGAACCTGTTCGGAAGTGTGTGGATTAGCCTTTAAAGGGAGCTCCAGCAAAATTTCGATAACCCAATGATTTGCCTCGAGACTGGTTCGACACATTAATAGACATATCTGAGCTAGTGATCTGAACTACGAGTTGCAATAGTTTTTTCCACAACGTTAACAAAGTTTTAAACTTGGTTCGAGAAGCAGAGAAGCTCCACCAGCAGCACTACGAGTGTGATGCCAAATGTTGTAATGTTGGTATGCCGTTTTCTGAATAACCCTAGGTATTCAGAAAACGTTTGGGTAACTCGAAAAACCGCCAAAGCTCCCCTTAAGGCGCGGGTGGCGGCGTTAAGCCTCTGCAACCGGGAGCGCGTGCAGTTGAAGAGAAAGAAAGAGAGAGAGAGAGAGACAGAGGAGAAGAGCACGGGGGACGTACATCGCACGCTGCGAGGCTAGCGCACACGGACAGACAGACAGAGGCAGAAGGGGAGCTGGAAGGAGGAAGAGGCCCTCATTCGAGCAGGGCGGCCACCTCTGAACTCGCGCCCGTCCCGGTCGCTACAAGAGACAACACGGGGCGACAGTCAGGCAGACCGCCCCCTCATACCCACGGCGGTCAAAGGAGCAGCTCTAAAAAGAATGGCACTACGGGCTCCTCCACAAGCCCCGCGATGCAAACTGGGTACGTACAGAGGGTACCTTTGTGGTAGAGTCAATTTATGCCGAAATAAAATCCTCGTGATGTGGGCACTTTCGCCGTAACAGCTGGTTCACACACTTGCGTTTGGGGGCGACTGAGCGCGTCGTGCCCATTTGCGGGAGCTTACGAGAGCAAACCACCTATCTGGAAGCCCGGGAACACCTACGATATGCTTACTGGCAACTCCGGCAAAGTCAACGGCATCTAGCGGCCAGAACGGAAAGCCGTGGCGACAGGTTCGCTATCCGGCCTCCTCGAGCGAATAGGATATTCGCGACGCCTGGTGGTCTAAAAGACGAAGCCGTGAAAGTGGGTTGGAAAACCTGCGACGGAAGTAGCCGATCCATCTTTTTTTTTTTTTATGTGTCGTTCTTTCGTCGTGGGTATTTGATCGGATATTCAATCTTGCAATCTTGTGCGGATGTTTTGATCTCGCGAATGCTGGAGAGCCTTCAGATAAGGCACATGCGGATCGGAAAGTGTCCGATTCTACCCGATAGGTAGCGCTAGTGTGTTCTCTCGCCTGTGACTAGGTGGTGCAAGCCACCAACCGATTTAAAGGGTTCAGCCGTATCCATGCATGCAGCTGTAAGCCGTGACAAGCGCTCACAATGCCCTCTGTCGCACTCAAATAGAAATGTGTGAGCCAGCCTTTACAGGATCCGAGATTCAACTTGCCAGCATTACAAGCTTTATCGACGTGAGCTCGCGGGCCATCCCCTCACGCTTTTCCCTAATCTAGGGTGCAACCGCGCACAATGTACGCCTTGCTCCGGCGAAAAGGTGAGACAAGTTCGAAGTGCTACACCGTGGAAACTATTAGGCATTTGCATAGTCAAAAAGTACTCGTGTAGTGAAAATTTTGTTTTCTAAGAAACTGCTATAAAGAGGTCTGTAGTAAAAACATTAATATAGTAGGTAAGTGAATAATGGTTGTGGTAGGCTTGGAAAGCTGGCACAGGCATTTCAGGTATCCACGTTAGCAGAAGTGATGACAGCAGCTCTTTTTGTTTTTTAGCAAATTGACAATGTCGAGGATGGTTCGGCAACACACTGGGAAGCAATGATATTCGGGTTAGCTCAGAAACACATTCAATGATTCGACAAGGGAACTTCTAGTGTCGGGAGTCTCGAAAAAACAACGAAACTCCTTTTCTTTTAATTTTACAAATGAGAAAACAATGGCTCACAAGTATAAAACATGAGATACAGTTTTTGTTCACCTGCTTGCAAAAATAAGCATTATTGAACACTAAAATTGCCAATTTCTAGACAACCATCATCTTTGTGATAGAGTAATGGCCATATTGATGCAACGTCTCAAGTGCCACCGAGCAAGTTTCCTTTTTGCAAAACCAACAGAAGCGAGATTCTTTCTTTGAAAAGAATAATCCATTCAGTCGGACTTGGAGAAGGCGGAATGTGAGCTACAACAGGGACGCAGAACCTTAGAGGCAGCAGTGACTTGAGGTTCCTACGGTGTCGCCAGAACATCACCGCAACGTCCAGTCGCTAGGGTTGTGGTGCACCAACTTCAGCCTCCCATCAAGTTTTGCAAAAATCTTGTCAAAACATGGGTTCTCAGACCAGGTTAACTCTGGTATTCCCCAGATACACCAGGTTTTCAAATTTTGCTGACCGTCCCTGTCCCGAGTGCCCCTCCATTATAAGCCCTATTTAAAAATATGCGAGCTACTCACTGACACCTCACTACTACGAGCAAACATCTCCTGGTATGTGTATTATAGTTTACAAGGTCTGCAGTCTTCTACACTGGTTTATTGCACCAATGCCAAGACCAGGACGGGGTTCCTCCACTGCCATGCAAGGCAGATAGGGGCTCCTCAAGGACATAAAGTTCAAGAAACCGAGTTAGAACCTTCGCGCAATTTCAAAAGGCAGACACAAAGGCAAAGGGCAACAAAAACAGAAACAGAAACAAGAGACTAACCGTCGGAATGGTCCTCGTCCGTCTCGGCCCATCTCTGCCGTTCGTTCAAGAGACCGTCCGTGTCTTCGTCGACTATTCTTTGGGGGAAGGTGACTCCGTCACCCAAGCTTTGAAAAAACAAACAGGTAACCATCAAACCGGGATTTTCACGCATCACAAACACAGTAGACACCCAAGTTAGACAAGACAAGGTGCCCAGACTTTAAACTAGGGCTTCTGGCTTTCAGAGCGTGCCTACCCTCTACCGCCTCATGAAAACAAATACAGATAAACAACATAAAAAAAAGGGCAGTAACGTCCAAGTCGCTTTTGTGGGGCCATTAAGTGCCATTTATAAGTATCGATATAACCCACGTGAAATTAAGACCAGAAGCCTTGTTAACAGTCTCCATTGAACCAGCCAGACTAGCTACTGCTACCTACACGAAACCAAGTGGCACAGCACAGCAGGTGTGCAACAAAATCATGTGAGCAAGAGCATCGACACTGTTAGTGCAAATGCAGGAGAGGTGCCGACGCCAAGCACTGACTCGCTGGATCGTAGCAATGGGTTAGTGTCACAACCATCGATACTAGGGGTCCCGAGGACATTCAGGTTCAACGCGAGGCGCCAGGTTTTGGTGGCACAAGACAAAAGGCACACAACGAGCTGGCCTACGTTTGCGCCAACAATGTCACGCTGCGCACATTAGTTTTGGCAAGCTTTTGCTATTACTCGGAACTCCTCGCAAAATTATACCCAGGGGAAGGGGAGAAAAAGAATCTAGAAGTTTAAAGGCACTTCTAAATGTTAGAACCCTTTCGATTCTATAACACAGTCCTGCAGAAAAGGCCTCTAAGCTGTCGGACACACACACACACACAACAGCGGGACTGCCGCAAGGGGCGGAAAGGTCCACCAGAAAGCGAAGACGCCACACAAGCACGGCACGGGTCATGGCATGCAGACGAGCCACCAACCCTTCCTCCAAAAGAAGCGTCTTGCTCTCCCGCGTCGGCCGCGACTTGCCCCTGACGAAAAAAAAAAGGCAAGCCGCGAACCCCCCGGATGCAATTTCCATGAGCCATGCAAATGCAACGGCCTCCACGGCACAGAAAGCGAGCGAAGGCTGGTTCCCACATATGCATTTGTAACCCATAGCCCTCTTCACACTACTCGTACGTTACACAAAAGGCACAGCGTTCACCGCAGGAACGACGACAGAATTACCTGAGGATGTGTCTCAAGCACATTGGCTTTGGACGTATGCAAACCTCAAACACGTCTGAAGACAGTTTTTGTACAACCAACGTGGCCGGACTATCGTAAGATTGTCCGCAAACTGTCCTTCGTGTTATGTATCAGCAGCGTGACCGCGTGGCGCCATTTATGGGTCGCCACGGAACAACTTCCAACCTGTGTACATGTATTTTTAAAGCTTCTTACGGATTGTTCTTTCGCCGCAAGCTCGAAATGATTTTGACCGTCTCATAGATGGTGTGCTGACTTGGTCTTGCCTAGTTAAACACGAGTCAGAAGTCTTTAGGGGCCACCAGACAGGTGGTGCCTGTGTGTTAAGCGGTTATGAGGAAATGTGACGCCCTCTGCGTACAACACACACTCGAGCAGAAATGTGTGAACCAGCCTTAGCGCGCAGAGAAGAAAGGAGTGACCTTAGCTTGCTTCAGGCTGGCCAACAAGCGTTAGTGAGCAAAACGTTACAACCCCATGGACAGCCATCAGCTATTGCAAGTGAAGAGCATCAGCCACACCTGAACGCGTGCTACAAAAGCATACGGGGAAATCATTCTGAACTTGGAGCAAAAGGATGGAAATGAAATAGGGTTGTAAAATAACCGCGAGCAATTGCGCAGACGTGCAGTCAAAGCTACTCTGCATGCGGCAATGGCCCCAGCGTATTCTCAGAGCGTGCTGTCCTACGGCTTTGAGTGAAATGGACGCCGCGGATGGTTGCTTAGCGTCGTACCACCAAACCCAATCTGCCAATGTTGTTTGTTTGAAGAAGGAACCAATGAATTCCAAACAGTTGATTGATATTAATTCGGTAGTACCGTTACAGCACATCTTTTGAAATTTACAACAAACAAAAAGATATGGCACAGGCTTCAAGGAAATACACCATCTTCCCACTGATAGCCAATGGACTAGAAGGGCAACTCCGCTCAATTCCGAAAATTTAGGGATAATGAGTGATTTAACATTAAGAAGCACTAATAAAAGACACCATGTCATTTGCCTCGTGCAAATATGGGATATATATTGTTAAATCTTACTTTAAACATGAGCAGAAACCGAAACTTCGGCTCCGTCATGCAACTTTGGCCTTGGGCCACCAAAAACATGGCTATCATGTGACCCTCTACGCAACGACGGGCGGGATCGGGTCGGGCTGGCGGGCCACCATTGGGGCGAACGTGTGCCAGGTGCAAGTGTCGTCTGCACCGCACTCTTCACCACGTTTTGGTATCTAGGACATTCTATAACGTCTGCACAACAGCGGCATCAGTCTACACACGCAGAGTGAATGAAACTCCGAGCTACAATAATCACGAACGGTAAAACGACGACGGCAGTTGCGACACGGGGGATGGCGGTAACGGCGGGACGGCTCCCAAGAAGCGTGCTGCGAAGGCGTGTTACGCCAGTCGTGGAGATACCGCTGAGCGCCAAGAAGAAACGTTGCTGACAACACCCGTTATGCTTGCCCGGGTAAGTAGACACAAACAAAAAGGGGCAATGATGATGACTTTTGGCTTAATGTTGACTATGCCAATGCTGTAGCCTTGACTGCGCTGTTGGTTGTGCCTCAATTCGCCAGCTAGAGTCAGCCGATTTCGGCAACTTGGCACGTTGCAAAGTTTGCCAGGCCATTTAAGAAACATTCAGACAGAACTAGGTGGTAATGTCTTCCTAGGTGATACTGAAGAGGACTGGATTGTTTTTTCAAAAACAAAAATGAAACGGAGTTGCCTTTTAAGGGGGAACACTGGTCTTGAAGCTTTTTTGAATTTTTTTTTATCGAACCCAATAAAACAGCACAAGCTTGTTCAGTTTTTGATGCTGAATTAATCTCACATATCTGGTATTCTTTTTTTTATTAGTAGGTTAGTTCTCAGGAAAATTGTAATTAACTTGCCTTTTTATTTCAAAAACAATAGTGGAAAACCATTTTTAATAAATCATGTTTTAACATATGGCCAGATACTACAAATTATGAAGAACATAATGCTAGGAAGCACTTTTTAGACTGAATCATTATTAGTGACTTTACAACACTTTGAAGTCCACTGTTCATTTAGTAGCAACCAAGCAATAAAACAATAGTTCGAGTGAACATTTTCTTAGACCTAATCTGCTTCCAACATTGTATGCTTTGCACATTTAGCTACAAGTTGCTGAAAAAGTTATATTCCTGTCTGCCCTAGGTACTGAGATATCGCTCCCAAAAATTTCCAGTCCAAAATTTGTGTTCTGAGAAAGTGTTGTTTTAGCATCCCCTGCAGTGCAAATTCAGCACACATAGATAATATAAAGTGATATTATAATCTAAATATTGACTTCAAAATAAGAAATGTGGCAGATCAGAATAAAAATAGCTGTAGATTTCAAAGATGCCATTTCTCAGCCGACAGCTTTTAGGGATCTTTTGTCTCCAAGGGCCCATGTCTCTCCAATCACTCAGCAAAACAACGACATCTATGGGAATTTCTTTTAGAGCACCGTAATAAACTCTAACCAAGCACATAATGTTTTTTGGAAAGGAAACTTCCACAGATTCAAAACTGGACTTCACAAATGCTTTTCAAAGATATATAGCAATGCCAGTTCTTCCAAACATCCTAACTTGACGTAATAAGGGTGCCCCCATACGTAAACTGAATGCAGTCATAATTATTTTTCTCCGAGGGAGTAAATATAGAAGAAAGGTGAGAACGCCCGTACATGTTCTAAACGGGACATATCCTCTTCCACGCACAAAAAAACTGATGGAAAAGAGTCTCTATGTTTTGTGCCGTTTTCCAATTAAAAGAACTTGAAGCTACAGTCTTTTCACGCATGAAAAAGAGAAGTCTACCCCAAAAACATATGTCAACTAAAGCCTTCACTACTATTCTCAGTGTTTTCTAGTTTCAAATCGACAGCGGTAAAAAACACTATAGTCGTTCCGCATGCCCGTTTTTGTCGCTTTCTTTTCACTGGAATTCCGCAAGCAGCCACCTTAGTGGCATTGCTCCATGCCGCCACAACGTGACGTACCAAGCACGAGCCCACAGGGTGCAATGCTCTGAGAATACGCCTCTACACGGTGTAAAAAAAGACAGGGATGGCGGACTAACAACCCACTCCGAGGCCGTCTACGATCAGGGGGTGGGGGGACCTGCGCGGTTGCCAAGCCAACGGCGGCTGGGTCGCTGCAAGAGGCGTCGAAGAGGTGTGAGGCTAACCTTGCCGGAGCGGTGCTCCCCATGGAGTTGTACGAACTGGCCACTTGAGTGCGTGTTGGATATGTCACCCCATCACCCAGGCTGCCATGCACAGAGAGAACAGTGCCAGTGTTGCAGGTTGGCATTCCTCCCTGCTTCTTTCCAACTCTTACGCCTCGCCCTACCCTTGAGCTGGAGCTCACAACTTCAAACTTTAGGTGACTCTAAAGGCCTGTTGACAAGTACAGTGCAGCATTGAACCAGCGATAGTTTGACGCTGAAGCACTGATGCGGCACTTGTTAATACAGTGCTGACTCTGTCTCACGTTTCGTACCCAACATATTGCTAGAATGTGTAAGGGTGCTCATCATTCTGATGACTTGCGGTATTCCCATTCGAGATCGATGTGCTCGACGGCATGCGCAAGATACACTGCCAGAGCAACAAGCTTGCCCCAAAACCGTACATCTTGTCTTTCTTCACGTGCCTCAATGGCCTTCTGGTTAGGGTGATGCCATCCTTTTGTAGTACTCGATGCCTACAGCACGCGCTCACGAGGAAAATACAAAAAAATCACCGAAAACAAAATGTCACCATAGCATAGTCAGCGCCAAGAGCACGTGCAAGGACACACTCTTTCATACACTTCAGAATAAAAAAATAAAAATAAGCGTTCGGAACAAAATGGCTAGATGTCATCACCCTAAGCAAAGCACAGATGAAGGCACCCTAGTCTTTCTCAGAACAAAGTTATCACGCTGTGACGGCAGACGGAATCAAACTCAGCATTAAGAGCGCTCCTATCACCAGCATAGAATCTCGTATCGACACAGCGAGCCCCCTCGTGATATTGTAAGTTGTGAAGAGGAAAGCTTGGCAGCGCGAGGATAAAATGAAATGCTAAATCGGTGCTAAATTCAGCACTAATTTGGCGGTGAAACAATGCTGCACTGCACATGTGAAGCGGCCTTGAAGGTCCACTTGGCTACAAGAAACACGGCTGCTTTGCAGTGCGGTACGGGACACTGCCATTCTACATAACACTGTGTATTACATGCACTCATGCATCTATTCAACGCGATCCTTTCTCGCTTTTATCCCTTTCTTCAGAATGCTCAACTATGTCACTGACTAACAATGTTAGTACAATCACTTTCGTCAGGGAGCTCTGATAAAGTCAACTTCAGAAAATGCCTTTTTTACACCTCAGGTCTTCAAAAGTTGTCTTCCGAGAAGCATAACTTCCGCTAAATGAAACAGTTCCGCCTGCTCCTTGAAGCCCCGTTTCGAGATTCTACTGTAACTGATTTAAAAACAAAGCATTAAACACATTTCTAAAATGTTTTTTAGGACATGTCTTGTTGCTTAGCGGCTTTATGTGCAGCCCACCTGTCCAGAACTTCAACAAATAGTTATTCCCGAAATATTGCACGCAAGACAGGGTGGAAGAGTCTGAAACCAAAGACTTCCACTGGGAGGCAAAGAAAGAAGATGTATAATCGCAGTCACCCACTAAAGGCAAGTGCGTCATGCCCACGTTTCCCTTCTCGCTCACCAACGCACTCTATGGCACCTTTGTACACGCCACTGATACATTCGGTTTAAATACATTTGAGTCATCCAGGAGAACAAAGAATAATTTGTTTGAATTGCAATTTGCTGAATAAAGCCTCAAATACCTGTTTTAATACCACAGAACAAAGCTCTCAATTACCTTCAGTGTCCCTTTAACAACGGTGACAACACAAATCTTTGTTCGTTACCTGTACCATTTTTGGCTTTGAAAAAGAGCTCATTTAGACTACGACACCATCGATTTCAGGCGTTCAAAGTGCTTTCACTCAAAATAGTATGAAATGCAGATTCCAATCAGTAACTTGGCACTTTGACAAGCTTGCAGACCTTTGTCCATAGTTGCCAGCAGCAAAGAGGAAGTAAGAACACTCAAGAGGTGAGACAAAACCAAACTGTCACTGAAATGCATAGTTTATGAAAGGACAGTAACACAGTATGTAGCACAGCGACAACAAAGCAAATCAGAACAGCTGTGCAAGGTTGTCCTTCGGAAGTCAGGGGAAAAGCCTTTAACAAGTCGTAAGCTAGCGTTCCTGCAGGACTGTGTTTCGTGGCCAGACGTGACCGACACTTCCACTTTACTCGTGATTGACAAAGAAAGAGAAAGAGCCTTTTTCTAACCGCCTAGCTCCAGAAATGGAGGCCCAATCCAGAGGATAACAGTATGCATACATTTGGGCATGAACTTAGTTCCCTCGATTAAAATGAGGACTAGTGCCCTTCAACAAAGAGATCATATTCTAAGAAGCTGTAATGTAATTATAGTAAGGAAGTTTTGCAGTTTCCCAGCCCACCAAAATAAGCCGCTTGAACAAACTTCTAAACCTAGGGGAAAAGAAAACATTTGCCCACCTGATTAGGACAGGCAGGTCTCAAAATAAATGTCTTGAAAAAAAACATTTTTTTGCTCGATATTTATGTTACAATAAGAAATCTTTTATTTGCAGGCGAAACCGAAACTACCCCTGTGGGATGATGATGATGATAGCATCTGTAAACAACTTGTGTGCACTCAGAGTTCACACGACCTTAAAGGCGGTTTTAGGGGGGTGGCAGCGACCACTTTCCCCTAAGCCCCCCCCCCAAGGTCAACTTTTGTTTTTTATGAAAAATTTATTAAAATTAGCCAAAAGTTTTTGTGACATAGCAAATACTGGGTCAACAAAATAGACCTGGGCAACGTTTGAGCCCCCTCTGATTGATCTCGGAGCGCACACTAGTTGAATACAAATGCTATCATCATCATCCGACAGAAGTACAGTTTTGGTTTCGCCCACAAATCAAAACATTCATAATGTAGTATAAATATTGATAAAAAAAAATTTTTTTATTTAAACAATTTTTTTTTTTTGTAACATGCCTGTTCTATTAGGTAGGAAAAAAAATTTTTTTTTTTCCCAAGTTGAGTGTTTTTTTTAAAGCAAACCTAAACACTTGATAGTCCAAGAGCACCTACAAGCTGTGAATTTCGGCACCTCACTTTGCTTTTGTCGTCTCAACATGCCGGGACACCATGTGTGCTTTTGATAGTCCAAGAGCAAGAGGTAGAAGCCCATTATTGTCTGCCACATCGTTCACAGGAAGACAGCCTTTGAGACTTTCAAGAGGGAATTCTCAGTTGCTTGCAGATATTTTAAATGTATAGACTTGCTGAATACTCATATTTTGACAAATAGCCTCAGAAGGGTGCCATAACGAAATCCAAAATCTCGAAACCATTCTCTTAGCCACTGCCAAAGACTGGCCGAAGAATTTGGCCACCACCAAATGCTTAACTCGTCCGCACTGCAAATTCTTCCAAGCACCAGGAACGGTCACAAACAACATGTCTCAAGAGTCGGCGGGTTAAGAACGCAGTGGAAGCACCAAATCCAGCGTAGGCTCTCTGCCTTCAACACTTCAAAGTGCGCAATGCCAAGGCACAATACAAGGCAACGAACGCACCCGGAGGCAAAGCTTCTACTGCGTTCCTAGCCAGTAACCACCTTAAATTGTTTGTTTGAAAAAAAAAAAAATCCTAACGTGCATTTTAGCACATTTGTTGCGAACACGTTCGACAAAACCACAACAGCACTGCAGAAAACCCACTAAACTAACTTTTTGTACAATGGTTCTTTCTGAGGTCACAAAACCACCAACCCTGAATGCAAAAAAAGAAAAAAGTTTAAAAGTAAAAGCATATAAATAAAGCTTTTTTTTTTTATGTTACCTGGAGAACACGGGCAGAACCCAGAGCCGCTTGTTGTCGCCAAATACTTCGGCCACATTGGCTTGGCGCCCCAAGCTAAAGCCGTACTTGTCCGGACCGGTTCGGAAAATGGGGGGGCGGAACGCCTCTGCAAATGACAGGTCGGGAGATGAGCTTGCGTAATACACCTTGATCCCGCAACCAACACAGCAAAGACGGCATTATTTTTCTTTTACTCATCAACACTGTTGATTTTACCTTAGGATCCCCTTATCTTAGGGATCCCACCTAAGGGATCATGCAAACACCACATACGCTCGCGAGGCCGGGGAATTCCAAAAGACACACTTTCGAAGACGCCACGATTTATATTGTGTACCTGTAATTGGTCAACCGACAAAGTGCACAATATGAGTCACAACTATAGTCATCTGACGCCGCAACCACATCTTGACACTTGGAAGTTGGCCAACAAAAGCTGCAGAAATTTGAAGCCTTACGAGATGCCAATGCGTCGCCGCCAAGGCTTCTTAGCGACCATAGAGTGATCGGGATTAGCGGAGCCCTTTTGACACATTCACCGTGCTCGACTCGTGTCCTCTTAATAAAAACGCCGTTAATATTTCTAATCAATCAATCAATTTTTAACGTTGAAGATGCGTCCTGGGCACCATATTAGAAGCGAAAGGCTGCCTCGTCTGTCGTTGAAAATTTGTAGCAGACGCCACTCCACTCTGCAAACGGCAGGAAGGCTTCTTCGCAGCGCTCTGGCCTAATACGTACGTGACTAATGCCACTAATACCCTGCTATGCTTTTAAGTTAGTATTCCACTTCAAGCCGGTGAAATAAAAACCGAGGGAGAGCAATCGCATGGGGTCTACATCGTCTTGCATAACATTCTGTGACGTACTGGAAATGTCTCTCTTGTGCGGGTGTACGAAATGTGAAACTGCCAAACGCGTCTCGTGTAAATATCGAATCTGGCGCTTCCAAGTGGGCAAAGCCGAAATGGAAAGGGATGGAAAGAGACGTACCCAGGGTCGACCGGTTCACCATGACGAGATAGATGTGATAGCCAAACAAAGACACCAGGCTGATTGCAAACATGAATGCCACAAAGAACAGGAAGAGAATGTGGAAGCGGCCCCAGCCTTCCAAGTCATTCTGTCGCAAAAAAAGAAAACAGTTGAAATACGTTGGTTGGTATGTACCATCAGATAGCAGCAATGCACTAAAGCCTGGTCCACACACCTACGTTTGAGTTCACACTTACGTGCCGTCTCTTTCTACTACACCCGCGTATATTTCCTCATTTCTTTTCAAGTGGAGCTCCTTTACCGTGGTCTTGAAATACTTCCGTCAACGTCATCAGCGACCGTTTCTCGTAGATACCATTAGACACCGAACCGAGCATCTGCCCATTCCACAATAGGCGCCCACCCCTCAATCTTGTAACATTTGGAAAATACACAGGACGTATTTTTACACGTTGTTGGCCTAAGGAACGCCCATCCCCCGGTTTTGCGTGATCATCTACAAATTTAAAGCGGGGGCTTGCTCGAGATTTTAGTGTAGTGCACAGAGTTAATCTTGCAAATACTGCAAAACCTCTTTTTTTTTTTTTTTTTTCTTTCCATTGATAGGCAACTTGATAAGTGGCGCCAGTGTGCCCGTGCATCCTCTTTTCATAAGTGGTTACAAGCACTCACGACGCACTTTATCGTGCCCAAACGCAAGTGTGTGATCCAGCCTTAAAGCGACCAACATCCGCCAGCTCGCCTGCACACTCGCTGTATCTTCCTGAAAGGAAGTTTTGTGCAGTGCAAATATTCGTAAAGATGCATACACACTTCAGCAAACCCCTGCTGCAGTGTCAAACCCTTGCCACGGGTTAGTCCTGAGCTGGCTGTTGAGACTGTATTAGAACTTTGCCAAAACAAAGTGCCTCGCACGCTAATGAATATATGGTGCGTCACTTTTGGTTCGGCGGCATCGTACCACTCGTCGCCTGTCCGAAAATTAACAGAGCTTGCCGCAGAAGGCGAGGTCGAAAGGTGAAGGATTATAACGTAATCTCTAATTGTGTAAGCTCTTTTGATTCCTAGGTTTATGTGCACAATTCACTGCATGATTCATTGTGAGCATATTTTGCAATTGTGGTTCATATATATCAGCGGTCTCAAACTCATTTGAATGTGGGGGCCAGATAGCCCACCACACCGAAAAGGTCGAGGGCCGATGTAAGACAACGGGGGGAGGGGGTAAAAATATTTTGAAGAGAGGAGACTTTGTGCTATGTGCTTTTCGTAAACTCACAGTTTTGCCAGTGACATCTTTAGATTTCATTTGTTAAAATGACTACTTTGAGCCCTGACCTCATGCAATAACAATTAAAATGACGACACCACCCTGTCAACCTGCTGGCATTTCTACTAGAACAAAAAAGCAATTACACTGTCGTTCCCATTGCTCAATTCGCTCGTGATTTGATCAAGCTCAACATGTCTAAAAAAACACTCAGTTAATTTGACAGTTTTCTCTGAAACATTTTTATTACAACACTCTGAACCAATAGCTGTCTTTTTATTTTATGGGGATATTTTTTAAGGTCAGAATCCCAAACTAATAGCTTTATCCTTGGCAGTTGCTCCTGCTGATCAAGAATTTGCGCAGCCGATATACATCCTTCAACAAATAGCTGGCGCGTGCAGCCAAGTAGCGGCTTTCAGCCGCTACTAGGCTGCAGTACTAGTAGGGCTTAGGAACGCAGAGAGGAATAAACTATGGGAATCTTAAAAGAGCAGAGCTACTTTTTGTGCGAAAACGATTTGACTAGATGAGATCGCAACCAAGACTCGCCCCAGCGAGTCGCGGGCCGTGTGTCTGAGACCCCCGATACATATTATACATCCTATTCACTTCTTGAGTTTGAACTAGCCAGTACCGGAACATGGGAGCGAATTCTTCACTTCAAATAAACATTGAACTGAACTGGAGGAAAGCACGGTGTGCTGGCATCTCATACCCTACTCACCGTCCAGAACTTAATGAAGTACTGGAGTGTGGTGGCGGCCACAAACAAGCAATATATCAGCGAGTAGGCCAGGAACAGGATGAAGTGCTTGTAGTTTGTGAAAGACACACAGTTGTTCACCCAGGGGCAGTGATGGTCCATCTTCAGTATGCACCTACAAGCGAGGGAACAAGCACAGAGCAGAAGAGACGGGTAGAGTCACCAAAGGTCAACGGGTGATTACAGTACAAAATGATTGGGTGTCACAGGGATAAAGGATCACTTACTTTCCACACACTGAACAGTGATGGGCCCTGTCAGGCTTGATGAGGTGGCACTTCTCACAGTACCTCACCACTGCAACAAAGGGTGGCAGTCGTTGTGAATTGGAGGAACCACAATGATCCGTGAAAAAGCGGAAGTTAGCTCAGAACAGTTTGCTCCCGAAGACGAATTAACTGTCAGAAGGAACACTCGATAGCAATATGCGTCTTCTTTTGTCCCTGTTCTTAGCACACTTCGTTTTATAATGTGTCGGAAGGACAGCATGCTTATTCCCCCCATAGAAACTTACCCCAATCAAATTACGAAAGTAACCGAGTGCAAGGAAAAATAATTTCTAATTTCACCCAAAGCAAGAAGATGAAACACTCATCTCAAAGGCATGCTCTGACTAAGGATAAAGTCAACGTGGCCCTTCAAACTCTGAGAGACTAGATTGTTGGGTTTCACCAGTTCTTCGAAGGTTTCAAAAACATGCAGACAGACGTCTTACTTCCGTTCAGCGTGCGGCAGGAGACGGGCAGGTTCTTGGCCAGCCGTTCGAGCATTTGCCTCTGCGCATCCTCGCTGTGCTCTTTCTCAAGCCGCTCTGCTTCTTCCATGGGAAGGTAGAACTGCAACCCAAACCAAGAGCACACGCCACTCACTTTGCCTTATCTTCGTGCACGGAAAAAACAGGCCCAGGAAAGATAATTGCCGATATGGAACGAAACCTTTCTTCCACCCATGACACCAGTGGTCAAAGGTGGATTCCGAATTAAAGTGACGATGCGGCAGGTTGGTTCAGTACTAATGTTAATAAAACTGAGTACAAATACATAAAAACAAGTGAAAGGAGCACACAACACTCTAAATTAGCAAGCAAAATCAGCTCAGCACTTGTCGCATGTACACTTTTTGCTAGTCCGTGTTTTTGTGCGTTGTTTCATTAATGTTGGCAGATTCAGGCTGAAAACCTTATGCAGGATTGCACAGATTGCAAGAGGGGAGGACGACTTTGCAAAAGTGGCAATAGGAGAGGTGTCTTTTATGATATCTATATTACAACAGGTAGTGGAAATGTGCACAGGGTTCGATCGAGTTTTTTTAGGCCCAAATAACCAAGCTACCCATTTGCAGAAAGCTAACACTTTGTGAGCATATGACGCTAGCGTTGGGAATAGGAGACTGAAGTTTTAACCCATGACATCAGCTGGATCGAAAGATAAGAAAGAAAAAGATGAAATTTCCCTTTATGAGCCAACATCCCCCTAAACCTAATTTCGTCGAAATGATAAATAACATTGCGGGCACCTGTGGCATTTGTTGCACTAAAATAAATGCCATAGGCACCACATCATTTTTCGTTTGGGCAAAAGTAAGCTCAGGTGAACGTCTGCTCCTACGAAAATTTCATCCTCTTTCTTATATGATGATTTAAGCAACGCCGTGCACTCAAACTTCCGCATCCTATCCCCAATGCTAGCGTAATTTTTCTAACAGATTTTAAGCTTTCTGCGATACATAGTTTATTTATGTGGGCCACAAAAAACTGGCTTTATTTTCTCGATTGGACCCAGTAAATAAATCTAAATAAATGAACTGCTCTGATTGAGGACCGTAACTGTTTATCAATGGTTATCAAAACACCAAAGACCAGCAGGGCTCTTTTGTCTCCCCACCTAGTAAGAGCAAAGAATTGGTAGCTGTAACTTACCTGCTTTGGAATGGTGCCTGGCTCTGCGAAAATGGTCTGCCAGTACGACCATGCAAACATTGCGAAGCAGGCATGGTAGCCAATGAGGTAAAATACTGAAACATTGAAAGTGACAGAGTCAGCACTCGTGTAAAGCACTGGACCGTGAACGCAAACTATGGCACTGAACTCCGAATGCAAAATATTATGCTACATTTGAAAGCACCAAGTAGCAGGAAAAGCTTAAAAAGAAATCTCTCAGAAAAGCCCGACTAGTCGAGATTTCGTTAGAAGCCAAAACTGAAAAAGCTGTCGCATTCACCAGATTCAAACACTTGCACAGTTTTTACATCTAAGAATAACGATTCTAACCAATACCTCAGTCAAACTATGGATGAGCGTCTGGCTGTGGTTTCCACATTATTATTTCCCCTTTGGCAAGCCCGCCCCGCCCCCGCCCCCCGCCCCCCCCCCCCCCCCCCCCCCCCCCGCCCCGCGCCTTCTCTTTCTCTCTCTCTCTCTCAGAAAAAGGAAGATGCACCTTGGATTGGGGTAAGCATGAAATTACATCAAACAAACGAAATTTCGTCACAGCCGTTATAAGTTTTTTCGACTGCGAAATTTCTAGCTTACATCGAATCGCGCTCTCCTGAGATTATGACAAGAGAGACAACAGGACTGCATACTCACTTTTCTGGAATATGTTTTCAACGGTAACTGCAACAGAAAGGGGAGAAAAAAGAAAACAGGCTCAGCATGCAAACCAACTGAACAAATCTCGATCGACCAAACGGTAAACCCTTGTAAGACCGACCGTGTAAAGCCAGTTACCTGCACGAACCAAATCGATCGGTGTCCACAGGATTCGACCCGAAAATGCGCGGGTACACCCGGAATTATTTTACGGTTCCGCAAAAAGGAATCGCAGTTGGGAAAGGATAACGTCATTTTGAAAGCAGGAACGAAGATACGCGACAAAATCGATAGCTTTTTTGTGTGTGTATGTGTGTGCGTTTGACAGAGCGCGAGAGCCGTCATGGTCGCAAACAAACCCATTAAACTTTATCTCGGACCACGGAACAAAAACAGGGCGTGTGCGGGAATTCGCCCGCGATCGTCGCTACGACGGCTGCAAACGCGACCCCGATCGCCAGCTTTTTTGTAGCGCTTAATAGGCTAAGGACGCGGCCGTGGAAGGGCCGAAATGCGGGCGAAAAACAAAAATCAAGAGGGCTCACAGAAACACAGCTGTATGACATAAGCGTAGTAGGACCAAGCCACAATGGTGGTGATGAACAAGACGGGGCACCACTTGAACACGCGAACGCAGACCGAGCACACGGTTCCTTGCATCTTGAACAAGCCGGGAGGCATTTTAACCCATCCTCGATGAGACTCGCCAGCCGCTTACGCCCGCATTTAGGCCTGATCAAAAGCATACACCGCAGACTGACGTCAAAGTCCAGCAGCCATTTTTTGTCCTTTTGTTTTTGTTTTCTGTAGGCCGCGAGGTAGCAATGACGTCACACAGACCCTAACGGCGCAGTGAAAGCTGTACATTCTAAACTATTAAGAGAACAAAAACCGAAATAACTGCTTTTGTGACAAAACTAACAGCATAATTAATAACTTGGCACTTCAAATAATTTAATATGGCTGTAGCCTCTGAATGGGGCGGTGGAGTGCGCCACCTGCCTAGTGTGGTATTTCGAACAAAATAATGTTTTTGCCCATCTTTTTCTCTTCTTTTAACAGCTTTTGCGCGCGCACCTACGGCCCCTTGTAGAAGCCATGCTTATACCAATCCACGATCAGGGGTAGCAGAAAGATAACGGAGATAGAGATGAGAACATATTCGTCCTTCCAGCCCGTTTTGATTCCCCGTTCGGCCAACACCATAGGGCATTATAAAAACTCTATGGCCAACACCCCGAAACACGTTTACACCCTTTGGAGTGTTCCTTTCATCGCATCGGTTGTCACGCGGACAACTCTTCATATGTTGAAACTTTAAAGGGTGTGAAAAAGGTGCGAAAACCGTGCCATGCGGGGAAGCGACACCGCTTGGAACCGTGTCGAATAATTGTTTTAAATACCAATACTTTTTGCTGGAAGACATTTTCTATCATGATGTTTGAACGCTGAGACTGGAGAGGAAACTTGAAGATGAATTAGAAATTGTCTATGGCCTTCAGAAATGACGTTGCATCTGAAATATTGGCGAGAAGAAAAAGTCGCCCCCGGTTGGTACGCCCATGCCTGCATTTGCTGTTTTCCTACGTGTGGATCTGCAGAGTTGGGAAAAGTACATGTAAAAAGTACTTGAAGTAACGTACCAAGTAAATGAGAAGTCATGTACTTCAAGTAAAGTAGTAAGAAAGGGTGCAATGTACTTGAAGTAAGGTACTATGAATTAATGCAATGCACTTTCAAAGTAAAGTACTTTTTAACACAATCTTTCATGATGTCCTTTCATTCCCCTATACAGTGTTTTTATTTGTTTAAATTGGTACTCATTCCCCAGTGGCGTACCAACTTGTTTTTGAGTGTGTGTGTGAGGGAAGCGGGGGGTGCCCTTGGTATCCCTTGGGCACTGTAAACTAAAACAAATCTAACACTGTAAATAATTTTACAAAAAAAAAAGGAAAACATCTTGCGCAAGATTTATTTTGAAATGTTTGTAAATTTTCAGGTCGTTTAATTTTTTTTTTCTTTTGGACATCTTTTTTTTTTCTTTGTCTGAACTCATGTTTTGTTAGAAATTATCGAGGTCAACAAAAACAGTACACCCCCCCCCCCCCCCCCCCTCAAAAAAAAAAGTTATAATTTTAGTTCGCTGATTACAAACAAGCGTGTTTTGTCCACACAAGGTGTAGATCTCTGCGCGTGCGCAGAAATCCAATTTTCGTGAGATAAAGTGTCTGCGCATGCGCAGTGCCGTGACGTCAGAGTTGACTTGATGTACCTCAGGTGGTCGAGGCTGGGTATCATATAATGCATTGTGTATTTCCATATTTAACAAAAGGCATCCGGTGTTCCTGATGGCCCGCCCTTCGCTTTGGCGCTCTTCTTGGGATCCTTGACTGTGGACGTAGCCGGTGCAGCGGCGGGGTCTAGGGAGAACTCCATGAAGTCTGGGGTGTAGGCTCTGGCCAGCTGGGGAGCTGTGCCGGGCGACTCCTGGTCCGAGTTCTCGGATTCTCCCCTCACGGCGTGCTCGAACACGGGCGAGAGGTTCTGGCCCGTCATGGTGATGCTGCTCCGCGAAGCCATGGTTGGAACCAGACCGCTGCGAGCGAAGATGGTCCCAGCGTACGTGTGGAGACGGCTTTCGCGCAGCTCGCGTAGCTCTCTCTACACACACACACACAGGGAGAGAGAGAGAGAGAGAGAAAGGGAATGATATATACATATGCATAGATAGAGATAGAGAGAGAGAATCTAAAACATGGTCAGGCAAGTAGAGCCCTAGCGCTCAGCCTACTTATTTATAGGTGCTCATGTTTTAGAAAACACCACACGCTTGTCATTCTGTACTGATCTCCAATCAAAGTTCCTACAAAAAAAAAAAAAAAAAAAAAAAGAAGCTTTTTTTTGTTTGTTTTTACGCAAAAACTTGCTTTTTTAAAAGTATGTTTTTGCGCGGCCATGGGCGGGAGAGGTAAGGCCGGCCGGAGCGAGCTCCGGCCAAGCATGTTTTTACGCAAAAACATGCTTTTTAAAAGAAAAAGATTGAGCCGCCCTCTAGGCACCTCGAGTCTGGGAGTTTCGGTACTCAGAGAACATTTCAGTGACTCGCTAAAAGGTGGCGCTGTTATCGCCTCGGGGGGCCTTACTCGGTCAGGGCCTTACTCGGTCAAGGAGGTTAGAAGGGTATAGTCCGTGTCACTACTTGCGCGCAGTGCAGACGAAGGCAACGCCAGGCGAGAGGAGAAACAGCAAGCACTAAGAAGGCTGGGGACGAGGAGAGAAACCTCCTCTCCTCATACCGTTGCTATTGCTCTCTCTCTCTCTCTTCCCTTGCCCTCCATTACCCTCCTCTCCCGTCCCGCCTTTCTAGTGCTCGTCCTTTCTCTCTTCGCCTGGCTTTGCCTTCGACTGCACTGCACGCAACTAGTGACACGGCGTGTAGGAGGGGGCATGATGTCAGCCGCGTAGGTTCCACAAGCCATGCTCCCTTGACGCCTCGCCTCTTTACGTGACCGTTGCGTGGTTGATGGTTGTGGGTAGCAGGGAGCGTGGTGCTGGTGGGTTTTATTTATCTGTCATCACAGCCAGAAACTGTGGCCCGCGCCCAGCCGACCGACTCTACGCCTTTTGTTTTCTACAGACCGTTACCACCATGAAAACGACAGTATTCAACGTGGAACATCAGCGCTGTAACGCAGTCTGTTGGCGTGTTTTGGGTAATGTACCGTGCATCTTCTGGCCACTAATTTCTCCAGCAGCCAAAGAAAGAATAAATTATAAATACACTTGATTGCGTAACTATGTCGACCCGACAGATTAGACCGATACTTACGCATTTTTACGGCGATGATTTCCGCGCCCGCCTGCAAATGATAGCTGCACTCTCATATTATACCACGCTAAAATACGTTTGGCTTTTTGTTTTTTTTTTTCGTTGCGGCCGTTATGCATTATTGCTGTCGTGACAAATTGAACCAACTCAACTTGACTCGATGCTGAGAGATGTTTTATTGACAATTGGGAGTGCACGGAGCACACCAAGCTCCATTTCGATGGGATCCAGCCACCACCGCGACTAACGGCCGAAATCTGTCGTTTCCACAGTTCGGCGACCGTCGGAAAATTTAAAAGAATTGTCGATCGATTCCTGTTACGGTAAAACTATGTGTGTGTAATAAATACCCCAAGGGCTTACCGGTGAAAAGTAACCCCCGGTGAAAAGTAACCCCCGCTGAAGAAAAACCAGTCCGATTGCGGCAGCCGACCGCGCTGCAAGCGCCCATCCCGTAGCCGGTGAAAATTAGCGTCCCGGCCACCGTGGTCCCGGCGACGCCAGGCTTTCGTTTTCTCCGTTGCGGCGATTGCCCTGATCGTCCCGTGTACCAGCAGCGGTGTGTCGTCTGCTCGTGATCCGCCTCAACCTCGCTTACACCTTCGCATTTAATTGCATTATAATCTCAACCGCTTGCTTGCTTGCTTCACGCCTATAGCCTTCGATCTGATAAAACCTACCGGACGAAGCGCGCGCAAGCCTGCAAGGAATCCTTCTACAATCAACCATCCATCTCGCACGTGACATGTCACGTGCACTAATTACCTGGGAGATCTGCGGTCATGTTGGGCACAATATTGTTTAAACTTCTCATGATTAGGCTTCACATACAGGGTGCTTCACGAAAAGTGGACAAATTCGATATTGCAAAAACTACACGTCGCAACAAAAAAAAAGGCTTGTGTCGTTTTGGTCCTGGGCCAGGGGTCAATTTAGAAAAATGATTAAAGTTTGGGATAATTAAGTTGTTAATTATTTTTGCGTAATTAACTTTTAATATTTTGTTTAAGGGCATTGTTTCAATTAGAAAATTGCTCAGCATCATCGAAAAACACTAAATCAACAAATTGCAAAACTATAGAAGGCACGCGCAGCATTTACGGCTTTCTGAAAAACCGCACAACTTCGACGGGTTTTTGAGTTTCGGTTTGCAATCGGAGCGCACTTCGGTCCCGACGGCACCGCACCCCGTGGAGAAATAGTGCAACCAGGCTCAATTGCGCCTGCTGCGTTGCGCGAGGACAGCGTAGCAGAGGTTGGTTGCGCTATTTATCCACGAGGTGCGGTGCCGTCGGGACCGAGATGCGCTCCGATTGCAAACCGAAACAAAGCCCGTCGAATTTGTGTGGTTTTTCAGAAAGCCGTAGAATGCTGCGCGTGCCTTCTATCGTTCTGCAGTTTGTTAATTTAGTGTTTTTTGATGATGCTGAGCAATTTTCTAATTAAAACTAAGCCCTTAAACAAAATGTTAAAAGTTAATTGCTCAAAAATAATTAAAAACTTAATTATACCAAACTTTAATAATTTTCCTGCATGGGCCCCTGGCCCAGGACCAAAACGACACAATCTTTTTTTTTTTTTTTGCGACACGTAGTTTTTGCAATATCGAAATTTTTCCACCTTTCGTGAAATACCCTGTATACTGCAACGTGCCCACTCCTAGTATTTATGACCTCCTTGGTATCGGTGGACGCCAGCGACCCAAGTTTCAAGGGAGGGTGAGTTTACCAACTGAGTGTTTTAGTAACGTTGGCCCAGGCCCAGGTACGCTACTAAATGTACAGACCCTGGCTCAGAATAAATCTAACGCCGAGATTTCGACGAAAAGGGAAATGAGAATTTTAAAATGATTGCAGAGAATTTTTAGGATGAACGAGAAAATTTGGAAAAAGCATTAAAGAAAACTAAATATTAAAGACACACGCGCGCGCGCGCGCGCACACACACACACACACACACACACACACACACACACACACACACACACACACACACACACACACACACCTTGTGTTCTAAAAGTTTCAAGAGAAAGTGGGAAAGTCGCGGTGTAGGAAGGAGACGTGCGTGAACGACGCCTAAGCGCAGCAAAACGGCCGCGTCTAAAACATTTGTACCGAAGAAAGGCAATTCTTGGACGTGATATGAAACATCAATCAGTGGGCTTTGGACTGGTTCCGACGGCTCCAGCGTAGCGGCCTCTGCGGTCCATGGTGAAACGAAGCATGAACAATTCCATTGCTTAAAAAAAAAAAAAAAAAAAAAAGTTACAGTTTACACGTGCTAGATCACGAACCAGCCAACGCGCGCTCAGAACTGCGGCCAGCCATAAAATGGTTGTGCGAAATGACCAGCAGCAAAGGTACGAAGGAACGCTGACAAAGACGTACCTGAAAGATGTCATCGTTGAAATTGAGAACCGTCTGCAGTCCTGGTAGGAGCGGCTCTGTGGCTGGCGGGGCCTTGATGCCTGTCATAACTCAGTAGTTATGCAAGTTGACCTTACCCACTGAACGAAGATCTGGAATGGTCCCAGACGCAACCATGACATATCTTTTTCTTCTGCCTACGGTTAGGATGATTCCATCATACTGCTACAATCGCCCTCAAGCTATTTAAGAGCGTGGCTAAGTACTATGTGAAAAATATTTACATATATTAATGCAGGCAGATGCTTAAATGAAGTGCTCCAATCTAAGATATAATAAAATATTTGATGGACGACGTCATTTTTAGCACTGGCTAGATGGCGCAAGCTACCGCCTTACTTGAATGATTCCTCTGCGTTTGTCTACTTGATCGAAAAGGTGATGGATGCGCGGGATGCACGCGTTCAAAATGGCGCCTGTCTAATGCTGTCGGTGAGGGGCTGAACCGAGGTGTCATCAACAATGACCACCTAATGTGAAATGCCAGCGAGTTGCGCTGCCTGCAGAACTCGATACCAGCACGGCAGCAACGTCACCTTCCACAAGTAGGACCCTGTTGACCTCGAGTCAGCGTAGCTTTTCTAGCGGAATGGCGCCAATCGCGCTTCTCGGTCTGTTTATGTTGAGGCTTTGTTTGTGCAACAGGGATGCGGCGGAGTTTCTGGCGGGCAATCAAGATGAGCCTTGCGACCGCAGGCAGTTTAATGAGTTACACGCAGAAAATAAGAAATTAAGCACTCTGCGCGCTTCGAAGCTTTTCCTTTCATAGCTTCAAAATGTTCTTTTCGTAGCTTCAAAATGTTATTTTCGTAGCTTCAAAGTTTTCTCTTCGTGCCATTAAAGCTTTCCTTTCGTAGCTTCATTTTTTTTTTATCGTTTTCTTTCGTTACTGTGCAAGCTTGAGCGAGTTCGTTATTCATTTTCAACGTCCTTTCGTGCAAACCCTTTATGCGTACAAACCGAAGTAATAACCCCGCATTTCTGTCGTTATTTCCAGCTTCCCGGCGAGGGATCACTGGTGCTTGGTACAATGGTCAGCCTTCACGGGTAAAGGCGAAGATTGGCGGCCCACACGATTCCACCGACTGTGTTCGCGTCACTTCGAGCCGCGCTGTTTCAACGTCCTCAACGGGAAGTCCTACCTCCGCCCGGGAGCCTTGCCAACTCGCAACAGGCCCTCGAGCCACACGCACAACAAGCGAAGCCTGAGAGGCAGGAAGCGGACGGCTCCAGAGTTACTCACCAAGATACCTGGAGCGACTCCAGCGACCACCCCAACGCGCGGTAAAGTCGTCATGGAGAAGGCCAAGTCAATCCTGCAGAGGGTCAAACCCGCTTCGAAGGAGGTTGGGCAACCCGAGATGGCTGCCGTCAAGGGTACGAGCCCTACTGCCCGCAGTAACGTTCCAGAGGCAAGGGGTCCCCGACAGTTCGTGCCACCGACGCGAAAAGTCACGAGCACGCAGGAGACGATACCGGAAACACCGGAGAAGAGACCAATCATAATCCACGTTACATCGCTCAGCACGAGTCCTTCTTCGCAGCGTCCGTCGCGCCTCAAGCGTCGACCAGTGAAACTGCGTTCGGGCGAGTTCGAAGAGGGCGCCCCCCTTGCAAAGTCCAGCCGGCGACTGCGGCACGCCGAGCAGCCGCCTCCCGTTGGCGCGGAGTCCAGTTCTGAAGCCGATCCGGACGCCGAATCCGAGCCAGAAGCCGAGCTTCCACCCGATCACGAATCCGATCTCGAAGAGGAGGTCGAGTACATTCCGGATGACTACGATTCGGACGTGGATGCGCCAGAAGTCGTCGAAAATGTCGCCAAAAAGCCGGCTTCCCCTGTGAAAGTCGTTACGGTTCGGGCTGGAGAATCTTTGCTGATCTCGAAAAGAAATCCGCCGAACGCGACACCTTCGGCGGCGGCATCTTCGGCCGTTGTAGGAAGTTCCCCGGCCAAAGTTGTGGCGGGCAGCGATTCGGCGTCCTCTGTTTCACAGTTGCAGGCTGATCTGGCCCGGGAGCGCACCAAAAACGAGGAGCTGACGATGCAGTTCAACAAGGCAAAGACGGTGATCGAAGGCCAGTGCCGGAACATCGTCGCCCTCGAAGAGACGATCAACTCGCTCCGGCATCGGCTCGTCCAGATGAGCGCGAAGTGCCGGAGCGATGCAGCACCCGCAGATGCCGAGAAGGTTGCCAAATAAACGCTGTTGTGCCGGCAGTGAGATGCCACAAGTTTCGTCCCGCCTGTTTCAACAGAAAACATATTCAAATTTCAACATACCCCTAGCCTTAAGACTGGGAGGAGTAAAGGCACACCTGTACCCTCAAAATTATGAACAGTGTGAGATTAATAGCGATACGAGGCAATCTCATAAAGGTGCACCCTCTACGACTAATGCCTTGAACACTCGACAACGTGCAAGCTAAAGCGAAGTGGCTCTTTTGTTTTTAGTATGTGCCTATCTAGAGGGAGGTAAAATGCAAGAATGCTCTTGGGCCTAAGACAATTTCCCTAAAGCTACACGCTTTTTGCCCAAGGAAACATTTAAAAGGCACGCTGCAACTGTGGCAAATATCTCGGCAACGGCTTGCACTGGATGATGCTGTCGCAAAGTAAAAATAAAGGCACTGCATACCAAAATGGCCCACTACCACCACTCCAGATTGGTGTAACTTGCTCCAAGTGGGCAACGAATATTGTGTGGCGAACTGTTTTCAGCATGCTCGTCCCAGTCCAAGCAAATGGTAGACGGTGATGCAAGCTACGCAAAAAACTCTGTCATTACACACATGCATTAATGCAGAGGTAACCACAATGTAACCTGGCTGATGCATGGGATGCAACAGGAAAGGCATGTGGCAGATGTGTTGCCCCAGTGAAACAAATATAAACAACTCAATTTGAAAAAGTATGAAAAATATTTTATCACACCTACTGCATTTCAGTTTCCATGAGTGCCGACCTGTTACTTCTGAAATGCTTAAAAACTAAACAAAGCACATCAAGCACCCAGGCTTCCGAACCCACCTAGCTAACCAAGTATGCCAGTGCAAAGTGGCAAGGTCCACTCCATCGGTGTCCCTCCTCCATTTTTGCTCCCTGACTTAAGCACACATCTGCCGGCTTTTAAAGATTCATCTCTTAATTTAAGTGGGTACTTGGCATTTTACAGAGCATGGCACAATACTAATACTTGCAAAATATTGTGCCGATGGAAGATTCCCTCGACTTGCACTATGCAATATTAGCAAAACATCAACCCCACAAACATTGTTAACTGCAGGTGGCTATTCCTTTTTAGGAAACTAACATTTGGGGGGGGGGGGGGTTAGTGTCACTGAATATTGTAAACCTATTCAGTGACTTGAGTGGGGTATTGGAAAGATCTAACCGTTGCACCCCTAGTGACTAAATTGAGAACTACACCAATGAGGACAACATAGATTATTCGCTTGCATTGTGACGCAGCGCTCGACCCACATAGCCAAATGTTTCATCGGCGTTCAGCTGGTACTTGTGTTCAATTGGCAAAGCAGAAACAGCGAAAAATGTGGCACGAAACGTGCCCAATATTTTCCCCGCGCTCAGCGGGAAAAACTGCTAGTAAGTAAAGAATCCAGCGCACCTCCTACGACGTTGTGTTGGTGAACACAGAACTCTGGGAAAAACAAGCTGGACGTAGCGCCCCCTGCAGTTTGATTTCCTCGCCAATGGATATATAAAAAGAAATGTGGTGAGCACATTGGCGAAGTGTGATACACTACGGCGACATAACGGAAGCATAAAAGACGCCACATCAAGGCAAATGCCTTTGTGTCCGAGACATCCCTCTTGAGATATTCCGATGCTTGCCATAGTTTCACGCTCCGAACAGTACTTACCAAATTACTGCCCAAAATGGTTGTACGGCAATCTAGTTTGGAACACGCAAAGCAAAAGCTTGCGTCGCAGAAGCCAGGGATACTGTGTTTGATCTCCACCCATCAGTTTTGAATTGTATGAGAACTGTACCAGCATGCATCGCATATCAATCACTACAGCCCGGTGCCTGCTTGGAGACTCCAGCCCAGTGGTCGTGCTGCGATGGCCAAATTTCTCGTCTACGACAGAAACATCGAACACCCAACACCTTTCGAGTCTTAACTTACCGCCATGTAAACTTCCATACAACAAATTAATATTTCTCGGACCAAGGAAGACATCACCACAACCACACGTGCAAGAAAGCATTTAAAAATGGTGGAACACCCCTACGATCCAAAGTGCACACCTCCACTTAAAGACGGGGAACATTATAGACCTTTTCCACAAGGGCGCCGCCATCTTGAATTGTCGTCACTTCCAGTATGGGCGAAAACATTACTTTGCCGTCACGACGCCAATAGAAGACATTTAGGATATAAGCCTAACTGTCACACATTCTCGTTTTGGCTCCCCTCTACTTTTTACTACTTGCAGGCTAAAAACGTTTCTCTGTTTTGTCATCGCCCATACTGGAAGTGACGACAATTCAAGATGGCAGCGCTCCTATGGAAAACGTCTATAGACTAACTCGACTCTCCGACGTCACGCCACTGCGCTGGCGCTGCTGTCAGTAGTGCGCATGTACAGATGGTTCCTCGCATCCGAATCTGGTTTGTGCGCATGCACGACACCTAGACCCGGTGTGGGCATTGTGGGCTTGTTTGTAAACACGGTTGGTCTATAGACCAATCCATTAGGGTCATAGCAGAGAGGGTAAAGAGAAAAAAAATCCCCTTCCCCTCTCACCCGCATGTCGTCTGCTCCGCCGAGTGGGCAGTACCTAGCATCCGGCTGGCGTACAAACTCTGTTTAAAATCGCGTCATTTTGGGAATTTCAAGCGCAGAGTTTTGTATGCCAGTTATCGTGTATTACTATGCTAGATAAAAAGACTAAGAGTCCAATTGCGCTGTATCTGCGTGCAAATAAAAAAAAAATAGGGAAAACTGTCAGACTGGCCGGTCTCTCCGGCGAAAAGTGAATCCGGTGGTTGTACCTTTTTTACTATATAGAGTTCGTACTGGTGTAGGCCTTTAGCAACCATGAGTGGACGTCTGAAATAAATAAAAACGTGCTCTCCTGCCGCAATACATGCAGTAGTTGAGGGTAGTACTGCCGGCTGACTCAACTGCTATTTAAGTAACGGAAGAAAGATATGTCAGTTGATCATTTACCGAAGTAGAACAACAGAGTGCTCTAGGCTGATTTTGGAGTCGCCATAACTATTCCAAGAACGCGAACCACTTCACAACCGCAGCCACGAGCGAGAGTTCAATGTTCCGTACAGCCCGCCGATACAGCCCAAAGATGGAAAATGGCAACCTCCTGTTTTGTTGTCTGCTAGCGGCATAGAGATCATACATACTAACGCCAGCGGAGTCGGGCGCGTGCCCTCTCTCTCGTTTTATCCTAACGAACCCGCTGAATTTCCCGGATGTATGGAGAGGGCGCTGCTGTTGAACAAAATGGTGCCGCCCAGAGAGCGCTAAATGGAATGGTCTATAAATCATTAATTTCCGTAATGCACGTGGCAATACATTTGCCGACTGTACTTTTTCACCTCAAGAACTAGTAAAACCAGTCCGGCTCCTCGCAGAGCATTACTAATTTCCCCCTTTATGTGGACAATGAAGATATATGCAGGCGAGTTTTAGGTTATATATATGTTATCTTACTAAGACTTGCACGTTTCAAACGCCAAAAGCATAGACTTTTCCTTCGACAATGAAATCTCATAAGTACTACTTCGTGCCGCGTATGAACAATGTACAAAAATGGCTTTTCTTGAGGTGAAAACTGGTATAGGTGTGAGAAGCTACCATTGACAACCATGCACAATGAAGGGATTCGTTCACTGGCTGCCTAATTTGTAACGGAGTTCTGCGTCATGACAAAGCGAGTGCCTACAAACTGCTTCCACTGGTTGTCAGGATTTGTCTACTTTCTTGTAGAACTGAGACAGTTTCGCGACAAGGAAGTGGTTGCCAACATATAAAGCACGAGACAAAAAGCCAGTGATAATTTTTTATAAATATTTTAATGCCACAGAAAAAAATAAAATGAAAAAGATGGGCCCAGTATTTTTTTTTAATACCAGGCAAGCTTCATTGGGGAAGATAAAATCAATGCAAGACCACAGGCACACATGCAGAAAGGAACTAAAAAAAAAAAAAAGAAAAGCTCACTAAAATTAGGTGTGCCAGCAGAACTAAAAGCAGGGTGATGAAAATGAAGTTCATTTACAATGTTTTTTTGGTTTTTTGAGCTTATGACATTTTTTTACATTTTTTACATATTATACACTTTTTTTTTTTTTCTTCTTCATTGTACTCTTGTAAGAACATAAAAATGCTAGCGGCGAAAGCGCCTGCACACTGAAAGCAGGTGAAATCCACGTCTGTTCAACAACGTCCATTTTTTTTTCTCTTTTCCTATCCTGCTTATTAACATCTCCACCAACACCCCCATCCCGGCACTCCAGCTGAACACATTAGTAACAAAATGTGAGAAAACAACGTGGAAAGAGCGTTGCGGTTATTGCTCTGGTTCGAAGGATTCCGAAACGCGTAACTCGCAGAGACAATTTCTTTTTGGGGCTGCTCTTCTTTCGCACAAATGTCTCGAAAGCACGAAAAATGACCAAGGTCAAGGAACGAAAACAATTTTTTTTAACCCGCCCCAATACTGCACTTCCTCGCAAAACCTAGAAATGTGCCTTGGGTAAAAACACAGTCATCTGTCCATCTGCAGGTTATAAATAAGTAAAAACAAGAAAAACATTTGTTCTTTATAAAGCACATTTTTCTCTCCTTCAGTCTTTTTTTCGTCTTTGTACTTTCGCATCATTTCGTCTGCACTAAAAAGAAGCAAAAAAAAAACTGAAAAGAAAGAAAAAAGCATCCACGCACGAAAGTTTATACCGGGACAAAATACACGGACCGCGGACATCTAAAGAGGCCGCCTTAAAAACTACAAAAACAATATCAGCGGAGTGCCCTAACTCCGGCGTCTAGTCTCGCAGCACCCACCAACAAAGCAAGGCTTGGGACAGACGCAACACAATTTTCGCAAACCTCGTTTCATATTGCGTATACGCAAAAAAAAAAAAAAAAGAAAAACCCAAGAACTACAAAGTGCCAAAAACTGGCCGACGTTGCGACTAGAACGAATCAAATGTCGCGACAGAGGCGTGGCGCACCTTCGTTTTGGACGACAGACTAGGTAGTTTTTCTGGCGGAGGTGATGGGTCAGGTGGGCTGGGGGACGTGTTTGCCGTCGCGCGTGCTTCCATTCAATGCCACACCCTCGTTCCTAGCGTGCAGTTGCTTTCCAGTCGGACAACCTTGACAACGGTGCAGACGACCTGCAAACGACCTTCACATGGCGTGGACCGGGAAGCCTGCCATGTCGAGAGTGCTGTGACCTTGTTGCATCCCGCAGAAACTTCCTGTGGCGGCAACTCCGCCTTCGTCGCCGTAGAGCTTCTTGATGCTGTCGTAGATCTCTTCAATGTCCATGTTATCCATCTGCGTGGGAAAGAGTAGGTCGTCATGCCCCATGTTCTACAAAGCTATGGTCGCCGACGGGATTCAAATGGCAGGGAGGTCTTCCGGTTATCCTAACCTTCGTTATTGCTACAGCGTTTATGGAGGTCTTTTAGCATGCAACGAGTGCGTGCCCTAAAAGACGAGCGCCACACAACCCTGCCATTTTGTTCCAAACGAATTGTGTGTTGTGGCCACGTCCCATAAATACATCTAGAGGAGCCATTATTTTGGCATTATGGGTTTTCGAACGAATCCGAAAAACATTTGCCGGTAACTTTTCCAGTCAATTCAGATTCATCCGAACCTCTGCATTCCCAGGTCAAAACAAAATAAAAGCAAAACAAGGCAATTTTTTAAAATAATTTTATAAGGACACAAGGTCAGTAGTCCTGAGGAAATACCACTTCAGTTTCTTTTGAAATCTCTACCTACAGAAAAAAAAAAGGGGTTTGCCGTTTAGCTCATCAAGCCCACCTTCAGGACGATGGGTTACAATAACTGGATTTTATTTTTTTTGTTTCTGAATTTTGGAAAATGAGCGTTGAATTTCAGAAAATTTGGAACCTAGCAAAACTATGAACTCCTACAAACCCCAAATTTTCAGCAAAAAATAAACTCCGAATAACACCCTCCAAATTTCCCTAGAAACAAACTCTGAAAACACAATCCTAGTCGCAAGGGGACAATTAGATGTTTTCACAGCTACAATGGAGGAACACCATCAACGGGAGCTGCGGATGAGACTTCAGTTTGGTACATGCTTTAGCAGCAAACAGGTTCCCAACCTAAGTATTTCCATTATCCGACGAAGTCCAACGTTGGACTGGCTACACGGCACCTCGCTCAAAATTTGAAGCAGCAATCCAAACCAGCCACAACAGTCAACGAGGACTGAAGAGCGTAACCCTTAATTCCAGCTAAAGCTTCAGACAGCTGGCAACAATGATTTTCAGCACCAAGTTGACTGCAACGTCGCTTCTCTCAGGCCCAGCTTACTTGGTGGTTTTAGTGGTGCTGACCAGAGACGTGCACTCACACCTTTACCTCCGCCAGCAGTGCAGACGTCTGCAAGATGGAGTATGGCGAGGCATTTGGCCTTACCTTTCTCTTGGACGGCTTCGAAGCGCTCTGCGAGTCCGAGTGCCTGTGTTTCCGGGACACGGCAGTGCGGGCGGTCGTGAAGATGCATGCCAGCTCCTCACGGCACCGGATCACGTCGGAGTTCTCGACCTGAGCAGACACATTGCGCATCTTCAGCTGCGAACCCAAACTTGCCTCGCACGCGTCGCACAAGATGGTGTTGCTGAATGCGGAGCGCAAGTTCGACCGCTTCTTGCGCGGGGTTGCGGTGACATCAGAACACCAAGCTTTAATTAGCTCCGACTGAAAGATAGTGGGTAGGCCTCGAGGCAGCCAAAGCTGAGATCTCCCGACCATCCTTTCCAATCAGAGCCAATCAAAGCTTGACATTCTGATGTCACTACAACCTTTACACAAGAGGCAAACAAACTTGCACTCTGCATAGAATGCTCCAGAATTTTCCTCGTGCAAGCTCGTCGATGCTGGTCAGCGCGCTTAAATTAATTCACTTGGCTACAAATTCAAGGCGGTCAGGACAGGAGCATATCAGAGGTGACGGAGATGTCGATGCATTAAAAAACTGAGAGTGTGAATTTTTGAGAAGTTGCAAAAACTTAGTGGAACTTGCGAAATTTTGTGAAGGGCGACCGCACTTTGGGCACCAACCTCGTCAATGTGTGTGTAGAAAAAAATGTTTGAGGGTCACAACGATATTGTGGCATTGTGCCCGGCCACCAGCTCTTAAGAAAGAGCCGCGGGCAACTGTCGAATTCCGGAAGGGCAGCGTTCGGGGCTCTGTGTCGGAGGCTTCCAACTCGCTGCACACCATCGCGGTTTTAGTGGATTGCAACAAGTGATGAACTTGCGCCACAGTTACTAACACGCTGTTTTAGCATAGCGCAACCACAGGCTACTGTACGGAGTGGCATTGCAACCAGACGCCCAGGCTGAACCTTTGAAGCAGGATTTTCGGCGAGCGCAAGGAGCGCTGCCGTGCTCACACCTGCGGTAACGCTATGCTAAAACTGCTTATTAAAGCCATCAATGTGTTTGGGGTTTTCATTTATAAAAGAAATATTCGAATATCTGGTGTACTACACCCGCGCACAGTGTTATTCGAAGCGTCACAAACAACTGGCTAACGGAGATGCACTTAAAAATTCCGCGCACATTCGTTTCTGTAATTACCCAAAAACAAGTAAGTGTACTCAGACATTTGCAAGTGCTTGGGGCAAACAGTACTATTCCTAGTCACGGCCCTTCGATGCGTAAAATGCGAAACCCATTCCTGATGTCTGTCGCTCGACACACCATTGCACAGGCGGTTCTCTCCTACTTTCAAGAAAGAGTAGACTTTTTATAGGTCGTACGCAAAAGCTTTCCACTACTAGCGGGACCTTTTCGCCATCACAATGAGCACAGATTGAGCTGGCGACCGCAAGACCCCAAATACGCAGCGGATGCTATCTATGAAAAGTTCCCAGCGAAAGGAGACATCCCTGTCCTTTTGTGAAACGCTGATCCCAAGCGGAACACAATTCCTCGCGCTTGCTTTTTTTTGTGTTAAAACTGCACAATGCACGAACGTGCCGACCAAAACCAAGTGGTAACAGCAGCCTCGGGGCACACATTCCCTGCCGCAGTCCCCGCTCCTGTGGTTCTTTGTTTGTTCATGAGAGGGTGAGCGGCCGGCTGGAGTTGCAAATAGTAAGGAGGGTTTGTGACATAGTTACACTTCAGTGGATGGCTTAACTTAAAGAACAGAGTTTACACTGGAAGAGGTTTCACTTTGAGAGATAAATAACAGAGAAAATTCGTGAGCTCGGCGAACCTTTTAGGGGTGTTCTGAAGAACCTTCGATTTCCGAGAACCCTGTTTAGGAACCCAAGCGACAGACCGTCGGTTAGTACGGGGCTTACTGCCCAAACGGACAAGCACCATAAGCAGCAGCTTTCGTTGCGGAAGCCTGTGCAATCGCTCCCCTGGCCTCCCTTAACAGTTTGGTCTCCTGCAAATGAGCTGCATCCAGGACTCCCAATAGTAAAATACTTTGGCAGGTGTATGTTGGCAACTTCACGGTGAATAGCTGCACGCTACAAAAGAATATTTACTCAATATAGGTTGCATAGACAGCATTGACATTTTTAGTTCAGATAGCAAATCACTGTACCTCCTAGCTCTTTGTATAATATATATTCTTATATATGTAAACCATTCAATGAGCATCTTTTCTGTATATACGTTGACATTTTTTCTGCATCTCCGTCACCATTTGTCAAGCATCGGGACCCAGACCGTGTTGAATCGACTGAAATTGGTTCTCATTGTCCATGGCTACGGCATCTGTATGTACATGTGCAAAATAAAATGCTTTGAGGCGGATGGTTTCTTCAATCGGTCCAAAGGCCTCAACGGTTACGGGGCTTCCTCCGCAGTCCGAGAATGGCGTGGGTCCTCACCTGGGCCAGCCTCTGCAGTGCAATGGTGATGACGAACCAGTTGCGAGTCCACGTCTCCAGCTCAAGGCTCACGAGAGCCAGTGCCACCGTGGACGGTCTCGTGGCCAGCAGCGAGTTTTGGTCCAGGCAGATCTCCAGCTTCGTCTCCAGCAGCGGACCGAGGGCAGCTAGCTGCTCCGCGGACTGGTCCGGCAGGAACAGGCCCCTGTTCAGCACCAGTAGGGCGTGGAACTGCAAGGCACAAGACACATTAGGCATGGTCAAGAACAAATCTGGAGGTTGTGTGCCATGACACTTCAGGCCAGTGGAGGCTATAGCCAGTGGCAGAAGCGGCCGATCACAACTGTGGTCAACGCAACTGTGGCTAATGGCACTGGCGACCAGTTGCAACTGTGGCCGACGGCAACTGAAGCAGATGGCAACTGTGGCCAGCCACAATTGCGACCAGTGGCAAGTGTAGCCATAGGCAACTGTAGTAGACGGCACTTTCTGGTTAATCACAACCGTGGCCAGTGGCCATTGCTCCCCGATCCCATAGAAAAGTAGTCATTTAAGAAAAACACTGAACTCACCCCGTGAAGGAAGTCCAGTGCGGTGGCCCGGCACAGGTCCCACTTGAGTTTCTTGAGAATCACTGCCTCCATGCGCGTAATTTCGGACACACTAAAGTTGCAGTTGCTGTTAGTGATCAGATCTTTGATATGTGGAACCACCTGCAACAGTTGGAGTAGACAAAACGCGCCAGTCAGATAAAAGAAGGTCGGGAGGCTAGTTCCTGCAGAAAACTGCGGCCATTCGCTTGTTTCCGACACTCACCTCGTCTTCTTCAATTATCTTGGATGCCAGGTAGAAGCACGAAATGGCGATGCATTTCAGGTACTTGGGTCGTGCCTGCAACAACGTCAGGTGTGGAAAAACAAATTAAGATATGTCAATGGTACCATGGTTAACAAGAGCATTCCTATCTAGGTAGGGGAGTGGCACTAATGAACATCCCTTGTAGGAGTCGCTGAGTTTGTGAACGCCCAATGTTATAGTTTATGGCAATGCCCGGTTTTCTGATTAAAATTCAAGCCTATCCACTTCACACTTAAGAATCTCTCCAGGAAGGAATTTAAAAAGGCTTCGATACCTGTAACTCATGATTCGAAATGAATTCGCACAAGGAATAATGCACAATCACACTAGTAGAAGCACAATCAGAATTAGATTTATTAAAACCTTGTAACTTAAGTCGCTATAATATATAACCAACCGGGTTCTTTAGTTTGTAAAATTTTGCAAACTTGCAAGAGGCTCTATGTAAGATCACCATACAGTATATAATGTGAAGTTGGAAATCTTTGCATTTTGTTTAGTCTTAAATTGACCCTAAACATTACAGGTAAGACAATAAATCTCTTAACAAACTACCTGTAACTGGACGCCATACAAGGGGGAACAAATCTCCCAATAAATGATGAGGATGATGAAACCTGCATGACATCAACAAAGTTACCCCCTTTTGGAGATTTCAAACTTTTCAAAGAGAGCCAAACCTAGCTTCAAACAACACGCCCCAAAGTATGCTGTTTCTGATGGCAAGGGTCACCACTTCTGCAAACAACGCACACAGGGGCCATTGCAAACAGCATTATGCTGGTATCATGCCATAGTGCCGACGATAACAAATTCACCAAGCTGGCACTTACCCTAACCAAGCGGAGGAACTCGTCCATGAGGGTGACTGAGAGGAAGAGCGTCTCAGGAGTAAACTTCAGGTACCGGCTGATCACAGTCAACCACTTCACCGTGTGGTTCCTTTGGACAGAGGTAATCTCGTCCCCCTGAGACAAAAAGAAAAGAAAAAAAGGAAAAGGTAAAGCAAAGCTCTACAATCAAAGCTCTCATTTCTGCTGATAAGTGATAAGACCACCTTCATTGCAGGCAAAAACAAGGCTGACAAGAGCGAGCCCGATAGTGCCGCACTTGCCCTCTAATGTCTGGAAGATTACGCTACAGCTCCCTTCATGCTTCCGCATCTTCCAGAGTACCTTGACAACACTTCAGTCATTCGGGTTTCGTATTAAATTATATAAAGGCTTCTTTTCCATAAGTACATACCGCATAATTGCGTGTACGGGCCACACTTGTGTGAGGGCCGCACTCTCCATATTAAAACCAATATATATATATATATATATAGTCTTCCTGACGAAGGCCGGACTCCAGCCGAAACGTCGAAGATTAAATCGTCCGTTGTTGCTGTTTTTCACTAAGGGTTTTTTTCTTCTCAGTTTTTTTATTTATTTATTTATTTATTTATATATATAATAAAAAAAGATTTTAAAGAGCATTTGTGTATTAACCACAACCCCCCCCCCCCCCCCCTTTTTTTTCCGAGGCACGCCGACTGCTCCTGCAGTGTGGTGCGCGCTCCACCGTCTCCTGGATTGAACAATGGCTTTTATCGGCTTGTTTTATGGTTAGTTTGAAGCCGCAGGACAGCAGCTAAGGCTTACCTGCAGGGAGTACTTGCAGGGTTGCCAATGCAGCTTCTCCTTCCTGAGGTACTGCTGGACCAGCGCAATGGCAGAGTCCGCAGTCAGGGCCTCCCGCATCGTCATGGCAGCTGAACCGCTGATGAACCGTACCCGCTTCAAACTGCAGAGTACACGTGCACGAAACAGATTATCAACCGACCACTTTTTCGACGTCACCGGCAAACACACAAACAGCAAAAGAGGCTGTCCGATATTAGCCGCATATCTAGAAGCATTTTTCGTCTGCAAGAAGTATCTGATGGCCAGGGGCGGACGCAGGTATTTCTTGAGGGGGGGAGGGGGGGTCAGGTGTTGGTCAGCGTATGTGTTTAAGACCCCCCCCCCCCCCCCCCCCCTTTCCCTTCCCGTGTCCACGCCCTAAATTTTTACACATGCAGAATTCAAAAGGGGGGTCAGGGCATCCGGACACCACTTCTGAATCTGCCCCTGACTGATGGCTAACTAAAGAAGCTAAAAGCGGGGGGTATTTACTTTCCGCTTAATGTCTGCGGAAATCGGGAGCAAGGTTGGTGCAAATAGGCAGGGGGACTGCTCCGGTGCGGCTACTTATGAAAAAGGCCTCCGTAGACGTGCGATGCTTTCAGATGACCAAACAGAAGCGGCTGTATAGCCGTGCCCGCTGAAGCATGATGCAACAGCATCGTCCGAGTCGGAGATTGCAACACTGCTTAGTGAAAATGGCCGACTCGCGAGGACGACTGTGGAGCTGAATTAACAACGGCGCAGAATTTTTAATTAGGCAAAACCTTCATCATTAATTATTATTTTTTTTTTTTTTTACAGGCCGAATGTGTGTTTATTTAGTTTGCGGGCGAAAACTAAAGTTCGTCCGCAGAGGAAAAAAAGAAAAAAGGTTATATATACATAAAAAAATCATTTGTGAGTGTTTTTTTCTTACTCTTTTTTTTTTTTTTTTTTCATGTTACGTAGGGCGGCGGTTACGCTTTTTTGAATTCTGCGAACGGCCAAGATGGCCACACCCACTCTGTCGTCAAGCGCTACGCGACGTTTCGGCAGCTGCATTTGCCGAGACCCCTGCATGAAACATACTCGCATTTCCCAAGTCTGCAACTACAAAGGCGCGTTACATGAGTCGCGGAAAGACTAGGATGCGGATTACAAGCAAGCTCACAACCACCGACCGATCCACACAATCGAGCGATCCGGTGGCACCCCCGACTCCGGCAATTCGAACACCGAAATAGTTTTCGTCTTTTTAAGAGACGAGAAATCTGACCGCACGGCTCCGATAAACAGGATCAGAGCCGCCTGCCGCCAGACATAACAACCGTGAGATGCTAAGGACACCGTACGTCCGTGCTCGGCCTAGCACGACCGTTCGCCGAGCAAAGGTCAAAAAGGGCAATTTTCCTCCATAGTCGGCCACGTTCGATGCTTTCTTGTTTATTCTACGCTGTCCAATGCGAGATTAAACAGATCAGCACTGGGTGCAAGCAAAGATCCTACCTAATACGAGGCGTATATCTACAGCTGAGCGCATCAAATGGAGGAGGTCGTTTGAAGAGTTGGAAACAATAGCCAGTGCTCCGAGGAGCGACTCGCGAGCGAGCCTCGCTACGTTACCTCGGACTTGGGTCGAGCCAAAGATGTCCTCTCGTCCAGCATATGTTCGATGGGTGAATGGAAGCAGAGTTTACTTCTAAGTTAAAAACGAAAAATTGCTATAAAAAGCCGAGCATAATTAAGATACAGCTGCACAAGCGAATTCCCGTCAGATGACTGAAGAAGCGAAGCGGGCGAAGCGCTGTTGGTAAACAGCTGAGAAGGTAGATTGATTAATTGTGTCCTTCCGCCGACCTACGATTCTAAATTGTCTGCTTGTAGACCTCACAGTTCGAAGACGTGCTGCCACCAATTAATCTTACAATCACGGGCGAGTTGATATATAAAGAAAATCTGACGTAAATTTCGAACGGGGAAGCGAAACGTCGGGGGCTACTTTTCACCGCGCCTCGCGGAGTGAGCGCGGCGGCGCAGTTGGCGTCATAGTGACGTCCGTGACGTCAATGAGCGGAGGGAGCGCTCCCAGCCTGGGCCTGGCGCTGCGGCGCTGCGGCGCTCGCGCTGCTACAGCCGACGCTGCTGATGGGAGCTTCTCGAAGCGCACGGCGCACGTAGGCGAGTAGCGGGGAATGCGGGCTCGCTTTGGAAGCAACCGGACGTCGCGGAAACAAAAGCTCGAGCTAACGATCGGTTGATGGCCGATAAAACGCTGTGGGATTACAGCTCTCTTTACCTCATCTAAATTCCTGTCGAAGCGGACTGGGTCATCATCCCTGAGGAACGTTTCGAGATACGAACGACCGTTCGCACGCGGCGTTCATGAACCCTTTTTCGAGCACAAACGCTTGCGTCAGACAGCTAACTGAAGCCCCTTTTTCATGCACGCTCTTGAGCTCAACAAACGTTTTCGCTTCCCATTTGCTTTGCTGTTATTTTACTCATTTTACGACGTGAAGAAACCTTTAGACTCAATATCCTCGAAAAAGCGGCGCGCTGAGTCATGGTTATTTTTTTTTTGTAAAACACGGGGAAATCCTCTCCGGGGGTAAAAATTACATGGATACGGATTTTTTTGTTCTTGTTTTTCAGTTGCAAGGAGAGCGAAATCTATCGAATACCTTTTCAAGGCTAGCCGCACCATAGCCGCACGAAGAGAAAAATGACCTTGAGCGGACGAGACTCGTTGGAGACTTTCGCAACGGAGATGCGTTGGCTGGTTTGTTCACTCAGGGCTGTCGGCAAAGTGTGCGGGGGTCTAGCTTCGGCGCTTCTGGGACATCACAGGTGCAGCGAGCGAAAGCGCAGTTCAGAAGAAAACAAATTGCACGAAAAAAACGGGGAAAGGGAAAACAGCGTCGGTGTGTTTTGAAGCGTGCCCCAGATTTCTCACGTGTCTGCAAGTATGTCAGTCTGCGGATAACAATTCATGTCAAAATTACATATTGTACGCAAGATTTGTCATACGCTATGTTACCTAAGGGGATCGGTGGCGCACACCAACTCGGAGCATGTAAAGCCAAAACTCGCGCAACAGAACCCAGGAATCTTGGGTTCAATCCCCACCCCAGCCCGTTTCGATCTGGATGAACATCGTACCGGCGTGCGGTCGTGTATAACTACACTGCGGTGCACGTTCCCAGCTAGGCTAACGGTTGTACTGCACTGGCTAAATTGCTCATCTACAACTGAGAGACAAGTCGCCCGTTGAAACTGACTCACTTCCGATCGTATAAACATACACGCAATGCAATTATTATTATGTCACCTATGGGCTGGATCATTCAACGCTGCACAATTCGACGACATCGTTAGGGTACACATATTTTTACAACAGGAAAAAGAAAAAAGCCCCTTAAATTTTGGAGTACATATGTATATCCTCTTTCTTTTTTTTTTTTTTTTTCTTGTCATGCTGCAAAAGCGTGGAATTAGAATCTAACGGGTCCATGGTGTTCGACATTGAGGTATGACTTTTAACTCTCAAAACATCACCGCAAACTAAAAAAAGAAAACCAGGCCGTCGCGTTATCCTAATCTTAATTAAGTGTAACAACAACAATATATATATATATGTTTACTTTTTTTATTTTTTAAAGATTTATTTAGAGGGGGTTTGTGGGAAGAATCATTTTTAGGTAAATTTCTAGTCTAAATTCACAAAATAATGGGGTGAATACGATACGATGCCGGTTAACTTTGCCAGGCACGTAACCCAAGGGGGAGGGGGGGCCCCCCCCCCTCCCCTCCCCCCCCAAATCTTCCATTTTGCTGGGGCCTCCTCTCCCCCCTCCCCCTCATACAGCATTTTGTCATAAGCGGGGAACGTGACGTCACGTCACATCTTTTTTTGCTATCAAATCAGACCGCAAGCGACAGAAACGAAAACTGGGAAGTCATGTAATATTGCAAGAAAATCAAATCACGAGAAAGGAAAGCCAATACAGTTTTTTTTTTTTTTTTGCGAACAAAAAACTTAGCTGCTTTTGTTTCAGTATGACGGCGTTTTCATGAACAAAAAGTTGTAAAAATGGCAGTAATTCTTTTTCTGCATTGTTTTCACTGATTGAAAGAACTTATCAAACTGCCGTGTTAAAAAAAAGAAAAGATATAGTGATAAATATTCAATATTTTCTAGACAGTGATATTAGTCTCATTTAAATAAAATAAAACTGACAAATTTATAAAAATACTGTTTTTAATTTTTTTTTACAGCAGAGCGACTTGATGTAAATGTAAGAAACAACAGGATATTTCTTTCTTTTTTTTTCATTTTAGGGGTTGTTAATGGAACTATAGCAGTGCGGTGGAAATTGCTCATTCGGGCCACTAACTTATGCGATAAAAGTTTGACGCTGGTCAACCCCTTCTCTACGTAAAATGCGAAAAACCGCATCGCGCTAACTCTGCTGCATTGTGTACCGCCTGCGCGAGAGGCGCCTAAAACCTTGGTAGCACTACTGCTATTAAATGATAACGACCACTTTATATAATAATTAAATTCGAGGTAAGCTTTCGTCCGGACCCGCACAAAAGTGGGTGAGCTTTTCTCCGGGATAGTTGTCAGCACAGCCGTGCGCCGAACTTTGTTCAAGGGGGTAACGAAAACCAGACCCTCCTCCTCCTCCTCCTCCTCCCCCCTCCCTCCAAGAGCGCTCCCTTTTGAATTATCGAATAAACCATCTTTCTTTATTTCTTGCGTCGTTAAAGCTGACTTCCCCTGCATTTTTCCCCTCTACAGGCAACGTATCGCTGGTATACTCTATCCACTTATCATTTTCAGGATTATTCCGTCGCAATCTGACGTTTCTACAAAAAAAAAAAAAAAAAAATTGCAGCTTAAAAAATAAAAAAGCACCACTAAATTTTTGTAATATACAGGCAATGTATTAATGCGTTCAGAGAAGTCGATTCCACCATGATTTTATTTTTGCGCAGACCTGGGGAGGTTGTGGAGCCACCTGGGTGATTTGGTGAAGAATGCCCCATCAGCAATACTTCATTATAATAATATCGTACAGGTAATAAGAAATCCTTTTAGTAAACCCTGAGCGTAGGCCTGAGGCACTATCTACTCTA